CAGAGTTACGTTCTCCTCTCACCAAATACAGACACGTCTTCAGATTCAACACAATTGTCCGTTGAGATTTTTACACATATCGCTCGAATAAAAAAAGTGATGTCATCAAAAGTCAAGCAGCGACTTACCTGCATTAGGTCAGCGTTACTATTCCTGCATTGGGGCAAACCAGTAGTTTATATTAATATCTTGTCTTTAAGGCTCCCTTTCATGCAACATTTGCTATGTTATAAATGTCCTCCAAAGGGCCCCTTTGGGTTGTTGGAGCCTCGAGTGTTGATCACCGCTAGAAATTCCATCTCTCGGTTTGAAAGGGCACCGAGGGCAAAAAAAAGGTCGGGGGTATTTGCTCAAAATGACGCTTCCGTGAACACGCGTGCACGCGCACGTCTGAGGTTCATATCTTCCACAGACGTCCATCAATGCTCAATTACCATCGGAGAGGCGAACGCAAATTCCGCATCGAAACATCGGTAATGACATTTTTGGTGTCTGGGAGAGAATATCAATACGTCAGATGCTACAAAGGACGAAACTTCAGAGACGGCTGTTTGACATTTGTCAGTCCCTCGTTGGCGTGACCTTTGCAGAGCGGTTCACCCAAACATAACTATTGTCGATCTGAGCATTTGCCTCTGAAATGATAATTTAGCCGCACGCCGTCCGGCACAGTGAGAGATGCAGAATTTTGTTGCTATTTCCACACATGTCATCCTTCAGCTAATGATACACAATAGTCTGAATTTACTCTTTATTACAGATGCGTTCAAGTCAGTTTTCCATGGATGCCGGACAGGAAATAAAAATGAATAGAAAAAGAAAATCAGCATCTCAAACTGAGGAAAAATAACCAGTGGACCCCCCCCCGCCCCCTATGATTGACACACGTGTTTGTTGCCTACCACACATCACCAGCAACATGTACAGGCCCCCAATACTAAACATATTAATGCAAAAAACATGTGCACGTAGGGGTTGTTGCTTTTCGCTGAGGATGAAATACCCAGAACGTGAAGGGCAGGAGTCGAGGTGCAGGCTTGAGCCACAGCTCCACTGTGTGGTGACGGGAGGAACCTTCCGTCCTCAAAGTGTCCCCGATTCACACGCGGGGCAACTTCTGGTAGAACAGAAGGCCGGAAAGTAACAGCGAAGAACCAAACAGACGTCCTGGCGTGTTGGCCGAATTCTGACAACCAGGAGGTTCATTGGTGACGATGCATTTAGTCATCAGTTTACTGGCTGCACTCGGTGACGGTGCAATAAAGGACAAAAAAGGTCGGTTTCAAATCCTCATTTAATTTGCATTTTACTTCCTTCATGCACCCCCCCCCCTCATTGCAACGGCGATAATGTTCCACTGGACACCCGACACGCACCAGGAAACCGCGTGCTGCACCCACCTCCCACCTCCCACCTTCGCCCGGTTACCAGCCGCTCGGTGATTCCTTTAGTTACACCGTAAGAAAAGAACAATGTAAGTTTTTTTTTTTTTACAGAAACTCCAGAGGGCATCTTCAAAAGTTTATCTTTGTTATTGAATTCAATCTTGTCTCGTTATCTGCAAATAAATCTGCACATAAAAGTGTGTGACGATTTGTGAGAAATTCATGATGTATTTTTAATTTCACAAACTAATATGATTCATTTAAGTGAAATAAATACAACTCAACCGGAATACACCGATGATGAACGCTATTATTTACAGGAAGTCTAACAAATCTTGTGAATCAATAATCATGGAGAAGGATTAGAAATGCACCTGCCAACATCTTAAATTACTCACAAATCACAGAGACATTTGTGAATCTTGGTTTTATTTATGGATGATGAAACATTCTTTGGACATTAATACTTAGATTTATTTATTTTGTGTATTTAAAAAGATCAACAGGCTGTCATCAGCCTTTAGTTTCATAAACCCTGTGAGACAGGTTCCCTGTACCGACCCAACGTCCGACACGCACACGTCAGCCTCTCTTAACAAAGCCACACTGTTCCTGCACGGTGTCACGGAACACTGGTTTCTCTGCTGATAACGGTCTGTGCGTCAGAGGTGATACGGGGAGGAGAGGGGGGGGGGCAGAAAATCCCATCAAAGGTTGGGGTCCCACTTAGCTTTGGGTAAATGAAGGAAACTCGCTCAGTGGTCTATTGAGGGTGAATCCGTTCACTGGTGGAACCATCTCACCAATGACGCGGTGGGATTGTGGCCCGCCGAGGGTCCCCAGCTGTCCCCTCCCGTGTGATGAGCTGATCGACAACAGAATTCATGCAGCGTTCCATGAGGCCTAAGACAATTCAACCGAGGGCGCCGAATATTGAGATATCAGGACACGGGTTGCATGACAAGGCACAATCGAGCACAGATGGGAGGGTAAACGTCCCATAAGGCTTTTAAGAGTAACTCGTTTGGAAATCATCAAATGATGAAGACAGATGTTAAAAATTGGTGTAAAAATCATTTGAATGCCTAAACTGAAATAATTGCACACATGAACAACTTTATTTCTTATGATAATCATCAGTGCATCCTCTGTAAATTTGGCATCAGGTTTATCGCATAAATCACTTTCCTTCTCTCTGTCTCCCTGTGTGTGACAGTTGGAGGAAGGAATGAAAAAAGAACACAAGCCCCGACCAACCTGTTCTACCACCGGGCTTCTTTCCAACTCCTGAGGTCGTTGTTGTATTCCGTGTTCACTCAGCGCAGAAACAGAGGATTATTCCTGGAAACATTCTTTTTTTTTTTTTCAAAGTTATCAAGGCCGTCTGATCAAGGAAATGTCACCACATTTTTCTTGGTGCATTGCCGCCAGTGGAAGTGTGCGTTACCATCTACGCTTCTATTGTTCTGCTGCACGGACGCACAAATCGCACACATCCCTGAAATTGATACATGCGACTGTTTGCTGGCTCGCCGCTCCTCGTGCGTTCTCTTTAACACCACAAATGGGTCTTTTGTGCCAAACGTCCTTTTTTTACCGGTACCAGAAATCACGATCACGCAGTTTGCGATAATCTTTTGAATTTGCCTGGAGGAAGACGACTGTCCTTATTTCACACCATGACGGGCAGGTCCCCGGGGCAATTAAACGTCTAATGTGCCACTTCCACGGCTGCCAATCAGCCCTCCTGAAATCAACCACGCCTGCTGCCAAATCGGTCCCCATTAAAATAATAACTGCTTGACATTATGGGATTAAGGTGCGGTTTACACAAACCCTTGTTGTGGAATTTAGGTGCTGTTTGTATATTCCCCTGAGGTTGCGTAAGTCCACCCGTCTGAGTCAAGGCTGACTAACGCTGACATGAACATACCACATTATTATATATTATAAAATAGTGTATACGTGAGGTCATTATTGTATTCATCACAGCCTGCTTGTCAAGGAAACGTCAACATTTGTTTCTTTGTGATTTGTTCTCAGAGTTCTTGCAGACTTTCGGCCCAGAAACTGTGTTGTTTTGCTTCATTTAATCGGTTAATGATCAATGCCTTTCAAAGCTGCATTGAATCATGTGAGACTGCTTTTATGCGGAGAAACCTCGGGAAAAAAGTATCCCGTCTTCATACTCAACCTGGCCGTGCGTTTGGCAGGCAAACTAAACATCTGCCCATGAACACTACGATAAAACGCCAACTGACCTCTGTGTGTACTCGGCTTCATGATCATTACGAGCCTTTTCATCAGAAAGGAAAGTTGGAGACTTAAAAGCGGGACGGTGCGGCGACGCCGTGCAGCTCGGGGGGCCGCGTGATGGATTGGAACCGTGACCCCCCCTGCCGGGGTCAACATGTTCCCAAATAACCGACCGCCAGATCTCCGTTTGTGTCACGGTTTGTGTTCATGTCTGGTTTTATTCTGTAGTTTCTTGCCTCTGTTCTCCCTGGGTCACTTCCTGCCTCGTCCTGTCTTCCCCTGTGATTGTCTGCCATGTTCCCGATCCTGGTTCCTGTTTCTGCCTTCGTGTTTGCCTTTTGATTTTAAAAACCTTTTTTGTACTATTAAAGTCCCTTTTGTTGCTTGAAAAAACTCTGCGATTGAGTCCTGCCTTCCACCCACCGTGACAAAAACTCACCCAGCTCTCCCGCCTCCCACCAAGCGGGTTCTCAAGTCATTTATTAAAACTGCGGGTTAAAAAACACACGCAGCCGCCCACGCGCTGCAAGATGCTGCAGACTCAAGCGTGCAATTGGCAGCAATGTGTAAGAAGAGTTTTGAGGGGAGGGGGGTCGTGTTGACTCAGTGTCAGTATAAACAGACTTAAGGGAGCTCACAGGGAGGCCGACTGTGATGGAGCGACACCTTCATTCGTGAATCATTCTTCCCGTGATTCTTCACGGTTTCATCGTGAGGTCGGAGGACGGTCATCATGAGGTCGGTGGCACTCCGGGAAAACGCCCTGAACCGGAATGACATCACGGCCGGATTCCAGTGAAAACAATTCGCTGCAGCCAATAAATTGGCTTGGAATGTGCGGGCACAACCACCTTTTAACAGTAATTATAGTTTTTGTATTTCCTTCGCCCTCATCCGTCACTCAGTGGTCGGTTTAATCAGGTTGTTTACCACCTGGTTGGACTGCTTTTGGTTTTGTGAACATGAGTTGCTTTTTGTAACATTTAGGTGGTGTGTGAAGTCTGGACAATGAGCAGGCAACATGTTGGCAAAATCAATATTCTTTTGTTTTATGAACGTTCTACAATAGAGTCGCCGATGACGTGATTTGGGATTTGCATAATTCTGCCACGCGAAAAAAAGAAAGGGAGGCAACCAGTCAAAAGGAAGTAAAAAAGCATTATTATTTTTCCATTCTTATACTCCTTCTGCATCTGATGCATTTTTGGTTCTGATTGGACCCGTGGTTGTAAACCCATAAATATCTAAACTTGAGTCGTTCGAATTAAAACTCCTTCCACGTGGACACTTTGAAGCCACTTATTCTCTCGTAATTCGGGTAATTTTTGTGAAATAATCTAGCGGACGTTTTTTTTTTTTTTAAATGTGCTCAAGAGCAGGTTGAACTGGTCCGACGTCAACACCCCCTCGGTTCACAGCCAGTCACCCACGCTGTCACACAGGTACCAGGGACAGGTGTGTGTGTGCAGTGATTTCAAACAGCGGAGGACACTTCAGGCTGTCGGCTGTATTCTCGCCATCACCGCCGTGATATGATCCATCCTTTTCCTCTCCATTGAAACACAGGTGAGGAACACTGTCCGGGATGGAATGCACAGTTGCTCTGTGACTTTATTCAAAGGACGCTTTTGCTAGAACTAGAATTAAAGATGTGGGTTCTGGAACGAGCTGTTGGTTAAGCAGCATTTTACTGTTATTGTGCAAAAGAGAGAGAAGGAAGAAAGAATCCGGGTAAAACAGCGTTTCACTGTGCAGAGTTACTTTGTCTCATGCTTATAAAACATGATGCTAATACACTCGTAGTATATGATGAAATACACTGTCAGATAAAAGCCAAATTGTGTCTTCAATGGGACAGATTTTCCAAGTGCGAGCAAACTTCTGCAGCCACGTCAGTCAGTTTGAATGACAAAAGGAAAGACGTGAATGAAAGAGGGCATTGATGCCGTGTTTGACTCTCATATCAATGGTATGTTGTCTCAAGGGACAGGAAGGACTCGACGGGGACAAGTACAAACACGGCGTAACACTTTGACGAATGATCAAAAAGGACGCGTTAATCAATCGCCGGTCACGATGGCGTGACCTCCGAACAGTGACATCGTTTTGCGTCCGGCCACGTAGCGCTGCGCGTTTTAATCGACATTCATTGACTGTGATGAGATGTTTTGTTTTAAAATACATCAATATCAACCATGGATCCGGGTAATCGGCGCAGTCATGTTTAGTGTGTTTTGCTGGTGTTCTCAGACACGCGTAGAAATTGTTAAGGGTTGCGGAAGCTCTCGAGGGAGGCCCAATCCTTTGTTCTCGTCCCGGCCGAGACGAGGACACGAATGAGTCAAATCGTTTAAATTCAAAAATCAAAAAGTATTTAATGACTAAACAACATAATAGGGATTACAATTACAAAGTGAAATACTAAGCGAACAGTGGAATATTTCGCGAAATAGAGAATTTCCTGAGCAAGTCTAAAGTAACTTATCAACGCGGCTGCAGGAGAAGATCTAACAGTCTTTTCCCCGCTTTGGTCCTTTGAAAACTCTTGAGGTGTGTCTTCTTTGGTGCATTTGAATGTCATTGGCCTCTTCTCCAAAGGGTCACCTCCTCCATTGTCCCTTCCACGTCGAGGTGTGAAGCTGCAGCCGTAACCTGAAACCTCTCTGTCCTAGCTGTCCCTCACATTCCAATGCACTCAATACTGATAAAGTGGCTTTATGCCTCAATGAGTGAACCCAACAAAGCATACATCGTTTAAGTCTTCATCTTATAACTAGTACACTTTCATTACAACAACCCATCATTAATGATCCTCGTTCATCACACTTCATAAGATCTAAAACAGTTCATGTGGTTCAATTCGCAAGACATTTGCCTCAGTCGGCTGCCTTGCAATAAGTTGTTCATTTTATTACCTGACAGGAGAAAAAACTCCCAAAAAAACCCTTTTGGGGAGAAAATTGGGAGAAATCCATAAAGAACGGCAATTGGCATCCGTTCCCAGGTTTTAACATCACATTGTAACAGAATGTAAATGTGTAGTGTGTTTCTACGATTTAAAAGACTATAAACTGTGTTTGATTCACATTGTATTCACTTCATCTAACATGTTAATGTAATAACTAATCTAACTTCACACAAACTACAATTCTATCACTAAACATCATTACACGTACTACAAATTCTATGACTAGACATTCACTTCTACTTAAAACCCCAACAAAATGGAGCAGACGAGAATCCAGCAGGAGAAGCCAAAGAAGCCCGTGGAGGAGATGATAGAGGATGAGTTCCTCAAAGACCTCTACATGTTCATGCGGAAGAGAGAGACGCCGATAGAGAGAATCCCAAATCTGGGCTTCAAACAAAGTACTTGTTCTTCCTTGGATCCTATTTTGTGGATTTAAAATGCATTTCACTTGTTTTATGCACCAAAGTCGTTCTATATAATACAAATATGTGGTGCAATATGTCGATTTTGATAAGATAAAAGTACATTCTTAAATAAAGAGATTACATTAGAAAAAAGACAAAAATACTGTTCTACTATTAAAAAACCCTACATTTTAATAATGAATTGTCTTTTCCTTTTTTCAGTTGATCTATTTGTGATGTTCAAGATTGTCAAAGATTTAGGTGGCTACTACCAGGTAAGCAACTATTTCCCACTGAATTCTCACCGGCGGTCTCGTTATTATTTTCACCATAAGTACAAGTTTGTTTGATTTTGAAACCATGTTCACGTAGTCATCGACGCATACTAACTAACACTACTACGAAGGCCCTAAATTGCCCCGCTGCCTTGCAGGTGACCGGCCAGCAGCAGTGGAAGCAGGTGTACAACACGCTCGGGGGGAACCCTCGGAGCACCAGCGCGGCCACCTGCACCCGCCGGCACTACGAGAAGTGAGCTCACCGACACGCCGCCGTTGGTCACGTGTGCGCGACACGTGGTTCCCCCCCCCGAAAGGATTCATCCTAAAGGTTGTTTTGTGCTTTTATTTTCCGCAGGCTACTTCTGCCCTTCGAATGCCACCTGACCGGCAAACAGGTGAACTTGGTGCCTCGCACGCCGCCGAAGCACTTCCTCTACGCCAACTACAACAAGGAGCAGGACGACGGCCAGGGGCCCCGGAAGCGCAGACTGCTCTCCGTGCCTCTGCTCCAGGTTGGTTGGCGGGCGGCGGACCTTGAAAAAGTCCTCCGTACGGGAAGGGCGGCGCTAGTTTAGCAAACATTTAACGACGAGGCCGCTGTGGGAGATGGAAGACGTTTTTACCGAGAGATTTGGTTAAACATGGGCTGCAAAATACATTTTTTGTTCAAAATGTAGCTGAAGCCAGAGTCTGATTAGCCTAGCTTAGCATTCAGGCAGAGAATTGGGTCAAACAGCTAGCAAGGCCATCGATCCGTAAGATCATACAAATTACAAATTCATTTCCTGGAATCTACACTGCTCCCTGCCAGAGAGTGTTCCAGCACTCACTTGTTGCTTCTTATCTCTATTCCTTCCTCGGCTGACGGACCCCTTGTCTTTCCAACAGAACCCTCAAATGCTCCAGTCGGACTTGCGTGAGCCCGTCTTCCCACTGACGCCCTACTACGCTCACCAATTTCACCCCAGCCACGCGGTTCTGCCCCCCCAAATGCCCAGCTCCTCCTCGGTGTTGATGCCACACAGGCCCTCTCCCCCCAAAACCCTGTTCCCCTTCCCTCCATCTCATCAAAGCCCAACAGACAGGTCACAGGAGCCCCTGGAGCAGTTGCGCTACCTGGCGGAACAGTACAGGACGACATCTGGATTGGCGGAGCCGCTGAACCTCAGCGTCAAGGCGCCCTGGCGGGACGCCGACAGCGTTCCCGCCTCATCGTTCGCCCCGCCTTCATCCAACAAGAGCCCCAAGTTCCTGAACAAACCGTCCCCTCTGTACACGCCTCATCGCCAGCGCGCGGGGAGAGACGCCGGGAGCGAGACGCAGCGCGGCGAAGCGGGAGACGCCTCGTATGGGCATCCCGGGAAACCCGGCGAGGCGTACGTCATCGACTTGGAGGCCACGTCCGGCCCCAGCAGCCCCTCGTACGAGGGCTCGGCTGCGACAGCGGGGACAGACGCGGGCGGGCCGGGAGAGGCCAGAGATGGGGGTCCAGATGTCAGGGCAGGGCTCCCCTTCAGTCACCTGCTGCCCAGAATCTCTCGGGAGAACGGCGGCAAGATGGAGATCGAGGTGCCGCTGTCTGTCTTTCACAACTGGCTGAGGCAGTGCGGGTCGTCGGGCGCCGCGCTCGGGGCGAAGCGGCCGCCGACTCTGCCCCCTCGGGAGGGAGGCTTCGAGCCGGGACATCGCGCGGACGCGGAGTTCTACACCGCCAACCCGACGTTTCACGTCGATCCCCGACCCCCCAGCTCCGACGCCGAGGACCTGCGGTCGACCCGCAAGGACACGCCAGGCCGCGAGCCAAGACCACTTTGCGGCCTACAGGCATTTGCTTTTGGCCGGTATTCTGAAAAGCGCGGCCAGCCAAGACGTCCATCCGTCGGATGTTAGTAAGTTGTTCGTCCCCAAACCCCTCAGTGCGTGGGACGCCTACGACCGAGGGACCGAGGCCTCCGGCACCTCGGGGAACATTGACTCCGCCGCTGCCTCGTCGGCCCGCGACGGAGCCGCGGCCCCGGGGGCGAGGTGGGGGTCGCACGTGGGTCCCTCGGCCGGGGACAGTTCCAATCCCAGCGCCACCTCTCGGCTTGAGCTCACCAACGAGGAAGTGATGAAGCTGAGGAGAATCATCTCAAGCTCCACGTGAAGATGAGTTTGGACGAATAAACTCCAACACCACTTTAAAAGCTCCCCCACGTAGCGTTGCTCTTTTTATATACTTTATTTTATATTTCTTTGGAATTCAGTAGCATTTAGATGTCACTCCTGTACAGAATACTATCTACAAATGATCAAAATTATGTGAAAGCTAATTTGTCCACGTTGTCTGTTTTTAACACGCACAGGTCAAATAACTACTTAATAAAGGTCTTTAATCCGTCCCGTGTGGGAGCTGGATGATTTGGCGTATGAACTGCTGTTAATTGCTGCACTTGTATGTAGCGATGAGTTATTTGAATGCCACGGCAAACTTAACCCATTCTCAACTGTTTAAACAAACCTGTAAAGATAAATAAATAAAAAACACTTGACTTCAAACTACGGCTGAACTTCTTAACTATGAACAATATATTAACTGCTTGAGGTGTATCTATTAGTTCATTGGAATTTGGGGAATATTAATCATTTCATTTTAGATGTCTGCTCATTGGGCAAGATATGTTAGACATTGAAAAGCATTTATGTTGGATTGACGCTCCTTGTTTGTCTCGATTCATTGACCCCATGATTGCAGCAGTTGCAACACAGAAGAGCGGCTTCAGGCACGAGGTCACGCGTCTGTCTTCCGCGTGACAGAATGCATCGCTTCTATATTTAGTCATGGGAAAAAAATAAAAAATTAAATAGGAACTAGGTGGCTAGCTAGCTGCTGTAGCTACTCAAGCGTAAGCTAACGTCAGCCGCTGCGAGGACGGAGTCATCGGACCGTGCAAATAACGTTTTTTAATCGGCTCAGCGCCGAAATCTGCGTTGGGTCGCGTAGGAACCGGTGCCATGTTGGTACCGGTTCTCGGTACTCAACCCTACTTGTATGACCTGCTAGAATATTAATAATAGCAAACAAAGTGTGCCAAAATTGGCATTAAGATGCGTGGAAGGCTAAATATTTCGTTTTCCCTCCCTGTTTAACAAACAGGGAGGAACGTTGCTTCTCAGCTTTTACGCTTTTAAATATTTATATTGCGACACCAGGTAGTGACGTCAATGGAGACCAACCTCTATCATACAAAGCTTCCTTTGTTTTTCACAGCTGCATATTGTATTATTTTCATTTCTTTAATTATCATGCTGGGATTCAACACGTAATGTCGTCTAGCTGATCCCATCATTGTATAGACACACTGCTCATCACAACAGTCAACAAAACAAGTATTGAAGAATTTTATTTAACTAAAGCCACAAACAAAGGGAGTGAGTCACAACTTTACGAGCTAATTGCTGCTAGCGACGTTCTTTTATTTGTTTTTTTTACCTGCTCTTTATCGCTTCAAATGACGCAACTGAAGAACAAGACTTTTTTTTGGCAGTGTGAACCTGTTTAGCAAACCGCAAATATTTTATAGTTCACCCAGAAACCTCCATGAGATAACGTTGCTATTTTGTTATCATCAAAACAAGAGATTTGCCTTGTTTGTTTTTCTTTAATTGCCTTACTTTTTAAGTCCCTGAGAAGAATTTACTGAGCTCAGACAACCGGTAGTCATGCCTACAAGATCACAATGTCGTAAAAAATTATGTCCAATTAGATAATTAGGTATAATGACAGTGTCGCATTTTCCGGTTCCACAAAATTATTAATTGTGCGTTCAGTTTTCCGAGGTATCTGTGCCTCAGGCTTCCAGGAGGCGCCATGACATGGTCATCAATCATCGTGTCAAGTGTGCATGACTCAGCCTTTAGAAATAATAAATTTTCATGTGACAATCTCTGAGAAAGCAAGGTTCATCTATCGGTTCAGCAGTTTGCATCTTTCGTGCCCACGTCCGTCTCCTCGAGCACAAACAAACGCAACCGGAGCGGCGCCTCGCTGCGACTGCGTCAGTAACTGTAGGAGAAAAAGGAAGAAAAAAAAACGTGAGAAAACTGCTAAACTGTACAACGTTGAAATGAACCAAAACTTCACCTTCATCAGTTCGGTATGTAATTATCTGTGTGAAATTATATAAGCGCCAACACACCCAAATTCACATTCCAGTCCGGGAAGCAAGAGCGCCTGATTTCCCAGCAGTTGACGCGATGAGTGTCAGTTAGAACCTGATATCTGTCCTGGGCATCTGTTGGAATGAGGATGTCATCCTTTTCCTTACCAGCACGAATTCATCGCTGTGACGAGGTTATCGGTATACTAGTGACATCCTGGTGGGAGGAGGCGCACCCCAAGTTCTACGCTTGCTTTTCTTCGTTCGCCTAATTTACTTACGCTTTTATAGCTTCATGCAACGCGACTGTTTGTCATCTCAACACTTGAAAATGAACATATTGCATTATCCCTGCAGGGTGTATTTCAAGGCTCAACTATTGATTCATCGGGTGGTGAAAATTCTCCATCGCTGTCAAAGTTCACCTCGGACTCCAGGGGAGATTGTAGAGATAAAGTTTTATACTTTACAATCGCTCACAATCGCTAGTAAACCTTTTCTTTTTTGATTCAAGGAAATGAGAAGGAAGATCGCGTGCAGCTGCCAAATCCTCGCGCAAAACAAGAGCCAGTTACCACCGCTCAACCGGTGTCTGACCTGCCGCGTACAACATGGCAGCGTGAACGCAGAGGGAGGCCTCGCTCCCGACTGGGACACTGATGAATTCAGACATTCCAGACCACTGGAAACACACACACACACACGCAGACACACTGGAAGCATTCAGAGTTACATAAAGCCGGCCTGGCACCATCTTTGTTACTTATCAGAATCTCCAGTACGACCGGTTCTTCTTTACATATCGACTAATCTCTGCACAAAAACAACGCCAAGCTCTCAAACAGTAACATCTGTGTCTTCCGACACCTTGGGCGCATTGCGTTTGTAACTTTTGGGTGTTTGCCTTTCTTACAAGTTAAATTGCCTGGAAAGAAGTCCGTGTTTGACGACGCGCCGTAGAAAAGAACTATTGTGCGTTTGAGTCAAAGAGGTGTTTATCCTGCCAGGCGTTGACTTTGAATCACCGCTGAGCCGCTCAGTGCACGACAGAAGAGTTTGGCCCAACAAAAGCTTTTTTGCATGAATGAACAAACGAGAAATGGTGGTATTCATGCTGGTATCACAATGTCGGCATACTTTTCCTTGTGGTAGGAAGAGAGCAAAGTGCGGATCTCAACCGATAAATCTGGAACCACGTGGCCTTCGCCGGGAGAGGAGGGTGTTACTAAAGGGGAAGAAAAAAAAGAGTCACTTTTCCAATTAACAGGTTGAAAAGTCAAACTGTCAAATGTCTTTTTGTATGATTGAAGCCGAACTAAAGAAGCCAGAAACAACAACAACCAATATTGGTTCCTGATATAAAGCGGCTGTCATTTTTTACGACCTGTATGATTGCTGTTTCTGTCAGAGGGCGGGACCAAATATTCCCATTTCAAGTGTCTGGTTCCTTGTCTTTGTCGGGTATCACTCGGTATCTTTTAGATCTCGCTACTCAGTCAAACCCGTCTGACTGCAGACTGCCTTTCTGCGAAGGAGAGCTCACAGTTTGCCAATAACGCATTGCATAAGGTGTGCCCACTTGTTGTTGTCACACATACACATATTTGCATATATACCAACAGTCTGATACATGCACGGGTGTGTAAAGCGTGAAAGTTATGGCTTATTTGCTGTTGGAGGCGGCAATTATTAGTTTTCTTACTTTTCCCACATCATCTGGAAATGAGTCGTCATAAAACAATGGATCAAATGAATGTTTATGCGTGACAAGCAGTCACTGCTGGTGACAATACAGCCACTTCTCTCTCCCCTGCAGACATAGATATTAGTGACTTAAAAGACAAAGATATTCGCCCCCCCCCCCCCCCCCCCCCCGAAGGTGACCGGTGGGGAAAACATAATTTAAAGCCTGGAGAACCTTTGAATTACAACGCCGACGTTCGGCGGTCCGCTCGTGGGATTGTGCAGTTTGTCTTGTTTGTGTCGCGCTACCTATTTCATGGAATAGCGATCCCTGCTTCGCCGGGATGACTTTCCTGCCGCTCGGCCTTTCGATCTTCATCAGCCGATCGCAGCACTGCGTCCACTGGTCTGCGACAAACGGCGAATGCAGGCGTTTCAACACATCCGGAGGCGATAGATTCACATCATGACACATGAGCCTTATGAACTATTCTGCTAATTAACGCAGTTCTTTTGGAGTTGAGTGAGTATTCTGGAAACGGTTAGCACATCCGATCATCTCTTAGCAAATACAAACGATGAATACGAGGCAACGGGACGCTAAGCGGTTATTTCTTCGTCTATTGTCTGTGTACATAAACTAACATAAACTGTTTTTTGGAGCTTAGCCGCCCACGCGATCTCTTATAAATCCGGCTTTTTCACACACTGGTATCGGGCCGCACAGATCGACCAGATTACCACACCGAGAATGCCGCTCGCTATGAAACATACATGGTGATTTGTCACTTTCTCACAAACGCTGCTGCTCTGAAACTGAACCACGTGTTGGGGGAGACTTGTTTGGTTCACATGAAAATAAACTCACCTCAGCGACTGTAATTTAAAAAACAGAATTCCTCGGAATGTCTCAATGCCAAAGAACAAGGCCCAGCAAATTAGTTCTGTTCAGAACATCAATATGATTTTCGAGTGTCACCGTAATTAAATTACATTACCGCCATTAATCATTAACGTTAAATGTGTACCAACTATATGGCTGGCGGCAGCTGACATGATGCGGAGGAATACGGACCATGAGTGATGTCTTAAGCTACTTTTTGTTCATATTTACAAGATGGGGAAGTTCTACGCCTCCTCAGACAGACACATTTTTTACTGCGAGACATTTTATCCATAAGACGAGACGTCTTACAAAGTGCTGCCAGTAACGTGTCAGTAAAGAATGCCGCCTCGCAGGTATCAGTGGGTGTATTCCAAGTCCTTAAAATAAACACACACCGCTTGATAAAATGTCCGTATAATCATTCCTTTAAAACGCACATATGTTTATTCTAGGAATAAATATTCCTAGAATAAATATGGGCGTCCCCACGACCCCCTTCACAGGGCCCCCCGAGCACAATCGAATCCAGGGGACTACGCATGGCGCCGTCTGATACGTGCACGGGTGTGTAAAGCGTGCAAGTTATGGCTTATTTGCTGTTGGAGGCGGCGGCCATTATTCGTTTTCTTACTTTTCCACATGATCTGGAAATGAGTCGTCATAAAACAACGGATCAAATGAATGTGTATGAGTGACAAGCCACTCCTCTCTCCCCTGCAGACATAGATATTAGTGACTGAAAAGACAAAGATATCCCCCCCCCTCTGAGGGTCACAACCGAGCACAATCGAATCCCGGGGACTACGCACGAGCGCCGTCCAGGCCCGAGAGGCCGTCGGTCCTCTGAAGTGCGCCCGTTTGTTCTAAACAGCACCACTGAGGTTCAGGGAGCAAGCGAACACCTTTTTCACCCGCGGGCAGCTAGAAACGGAGCGGCCGCTAGCCGAGGCCTCACTCATGTTGTGGACGTGGCGGCTGATGGCCTGGTTCCAGCGCCACGTGTCCTCGGGTGTGGGCGTCCTCAGCGCGAAGGTCACCTGCTCTCCTTGACGCTGCGTGCCGATGAGCAGAGTCTGGCAATGGACCTCTGACTCAGTGACGGTTGTTTCCTGAAAATAAACACACCCGGTATAATCATCATTAAAATGATGAATTAATAGCTTTTTAATTAAAGTGGATTTCATTCGCTGACAACACAGTGTGTTGTGTGTTTTTTGCTCGTAGGAAAGGTGCCGCTGTGGGAGTTTCATAAGAGCGGCATTTTTTTGATGCTGTCGCAAATGATTCGACCTATTTAGACTTTAATCGCTCAGAACCAACCCGTTTGATGGGGATTACTAGTAACGGCTCGGCCTCGGACTCCGCGGCCTCTTGACTCTGATAACAGAGAAGACTTTGACCCCTGAGAACGGCGTAGACACTTTCACAACCGCTCAGCTCCTCTCCCAGCTGAAAGAGAGCACGGGACAACGGCTTTCACCCAAACGTGGACGTGATGTCAGAATGTGCACGTTCACAGGAAAAACGAAAGGCACCTTGACCCGGAGGTGGCCACTGGTGACCGGCTGCGTCATGCACACGGGCTGAGCTGCTAGGCGGCAGCACATGTTGCCGTACAGAGGCAACCAGAATGGATTGTCCTCTGGGAAGGAAACAGAGACGAATGTTCAGAAGGAGAGGAGGAGACAAGGAGACAAGGAGACATAGGGGCCCCGTAACCCGCCTGTCGCTGCCAGGGACAAGTCGTGCGTCTTGAACCCCTCCTGGACGTGTTGGATCCTCAGCGTGGTGTGAGCCAGCAGGTGGTACTTGGGCCCCCTTCGGAGAGAGAAAGCATCTCACTCAGTCACCACACACGTGCCCCCCCGGTGTGCTCTGCATGGATGGAGGTAGGGGGAGGGGGGGTGGGGGGTCATGCTCACAGTGGCGCCGGCGGCGGGGGCAAAGGGGGTCCCGCGTTCCCTCCGCCGGAGCCGCAGGCGGCCGCGGACTCGAACGCGGCGCGGATCTTCTTCCCCGAGGAGCATCCCACCGAGCCCCCCAGGCAGCTCGCCCTCCGGGGGCCCGGGGCCGCCGGGGAGAACTCCTCCACCGCGCAGCTGCTGTACAGCTCGACGCGCAGCTGAAAGGCCGGCGCCGCCTGGTCGCTGCGCGCACAACACGGTCACACAAGGAGCATCACAAGGGGGCTTTTTCTTTTTTTTTAGTGCGACTGGAAAGGAAACGTTACACTCTGAAGGAGAGAAGCGTATAAAAAGCAGCAAATAGAGTCTACTCAATAAATGTGAGGGAACAATTAACGCATGTTTAAAGTAAAGCATCCCCACGTTTAATACTTACGTACATGTTATGTTTTCGTTCTTGATTTTTAACAGATTTGCAAAAATTTGCAAAAAACTGTTTTCACTTTGTCATTATGGGTCGTTGCGTGTAGAATATGGGGCGCCGTTTGTAAAATGTTGCACGTTCCAAAATCCTGCGCAGTTTTTCCACATTTAGCATTATCATATGAACAAAAAAGCACGACAATATTCACATGTCACTTTTTCAAACATTTAGAGAGAAATTCATGTACATTCATGCAATAACTTTTCCAAGGATAATGTTTGGCAGTAACAGAGTTGTTAAATAATAGAAATGTTAAATCTAAATGTAAATCTAAATGTAAAAGTTAAATGTTATATCTAAATGTTAAATCTAAATCTAAATGTTAAATGTTATATCTAAATGTTAAATGTTATATCTAAATGTTAAATCTAAATGTTAAATGTTATATCTAAATGTTAAATCTAAATGTAAATGTTAACTCTAAATGTTAAATCTAAATGTAAATGTTAAATGTTATATCTAAATGTTAAATCTAAATCTAAATGTTAAATGTTATATCTAAATGTTAAATCTAAATGTTAACTCTAAATGTTAAATCTAAATGTAAATGTTAAATTTAGAGTCTACATTTAGCTCTACATTTAACATTTAAGACTTAACGACTGAACATTACAATAATTACGGTAATTCACGCCGCGGCAGGACAAGCTGGCAAAACCGGATGAATCAGATCAACTTTTCCAAGGATAATGTTTTGACAGTAACAAAGTTGTTAAATAAAAAAGTTATTGCATGAATGTACATGTCTTGTCTCTAAATGTTTGAAAAAGTGACATGTGAATATTGTCGTGCTTTTTAGTTCATATGATAATGCTAAATGTGGAAAAACTGCGCAGGATTTTGGAACGTGCAACATTTTACAAACGGCGCCCCATAGTAGAATGTTGAGGAAAATAATGAATTGAATCCATTTTGGAATAAGGCTGTAACATAACAAAATGTGGAAAAAGTGAAGCGCTGTGAATACTTCCGGATGCACTGTACCTTCAAAAAATTTTAGAACTTTAGATTGTAAGCACCAAATACCTAATAATTGTTATTACAAATTTAACAATATCACTCATTACTTATTCAGGGAAGGTAAGCTCTACTTAAAAAAAAGATGTATTAATCTGCAGTTGTTTCTGTTGAAAAATTTACATATTTGTTTTGCATGGGTTATAAATACTACCCTCCAAACATCTGTTTTTACAGTGTGACTCACAACAAGGTGGCGCCTTCAAAACAAATGTCGGTCAACGTCCTGTCCACCATCACCAGGTCCGTGTCGTGGATCTCTGTGCCACACTGGAGGAGGCAGAAAACGGCACAGCGCTGCAGCTCTGCAGGTCAAAGCGCACACGCGCATTCACACAGGTTCATTCACACAGGCTCCTGCTAGTGCGCTTTCACCGCGGTGGCACCCGGCGGGGAGGACGCGCCATCATCGTGGTGTGAACAAAGCGTCGTTCGTTCGCATTTGTGCCATTAGTTCCCCTGACAACGGGGAATCCTCACTCACCTCCTTTGTTTTTGAAGTACTCCGAGTCTTTCCACATGAGCGGGATCCGCAGGTCTGCAGAGGGACATTTACTGACGCGGGCTCAGGTGTTTATTTTCAATTACTTGTTCCACGATATTTGGTCAGCACTCACCTGAAAGGGATACTTTCCCCAAACAGGGGGGGGCATCCTCAGATGGCCTGCGGTGAAAGAAAGAGAGAATCGATGCACGCACACACACACACACACACACACACACACACACCTGACGTGCATTCTGCACAGCTCAGTGCGCACAGAACACCTCACAAATACCAGAATAAAGATGTGATGTTTCACTATGAAAACCTTTGTATTCAACCGTCATATCGCCTTTAATGAACATTTCAGGTCTCCACCATGTCCACAATTTAACGAGATAGCACGAGCTAATGAATTCAGTATAGATACTAATGTTACCTCCACATTGTACACGTGATCAGGTAGATCCACACAAATGACTAAAAGGTCAACTTGTCTGCCCTCTAGTGGCGTGCAGGAGGTACCTGCTCTCCACTGATGGAGCGGTTACCCGTGCATTTATCCACATACATGTACAACATTCATTCATTCATTGCACCCCGCGTCCCACCTGCGTCCCACTCGCTGCAGGATTTCGTCTTTCCTCATCTGCTGCAGCTGGCTGAGCAGGGCCAGGATGCGGGCGTTGCAGGTCAGCAGGCTCTTGGAGGCCTCCAGGGCCTGCTCTCTCCTGGAACAGGCCGCCAGGAGCTTACTGGCCCCCTCCCGCATTCGCACCTCCCTCTCGATCCGCTGCAGCACCTCCTCGTCCTGGCCGGGATACATGCAGGGAGGGGTATCTTTTAGTCAAAACGATCAATGCTTTTGATTAAAAACAGCGGACAATGTCTCCAATCTCAAGATCAGAGTCCGGTCCCCCCCCCCCAGAGTCCCGGGTCCCCAGAGGATGAACCCTAGTCGACTTAGAGACGCCCGGAAGCTGGGTTGTTGTTACCTGCACACATCTGCACGTGAGCAAGTGAGAGCAGGCCGACTTTCTGCTGATCCTCCTCTCAGCTCGGAGGCCCGTTGCATAAGAGCCCCGACCCGGCGGGGGCGTTCAGTCGGTGCGTCACATTAATCCCTGGATGTGTTCCAGCTGTCAGAGCCCCAGGACTTAACTCCTCTCAGGTGAGCAGTGACACGGCACACGTTGTTTGGGATTTAGCTGGCCACAATGGAGTGCAACAGCCCTTTGTCTCGGTGGGGAACAAAGTCCTCCTTTCGATTAGTGAGGAAAAAAAAAGAAAAGCAGCAGCGTGCCTGGAGCAATGAGGAAAAGCACGTTTCTCTCTGGTTGAAAGTGGCCCTTTTGTGTGCGCGATTCCCGGCACACGTGGTTTTTCTGTGGTTTACCAAACTTTCACTCGGCGGTCTGGCGAGGTGCAGCTTCAGGGATCGGAAGGATTGGAATGTTGCGTAACTCACTTCATGGTTTCTGGTTTTCTTCATCAAACCGATGCAGCAAAAAAACTTTAATTTGTGCGATATTACAATATCTTTCAAACAGGACGAAGCTCAAAAAATGGGGATTATTGATCAACTGTTTAACAATATATTTTAGAGAAAGACCGAACATAAATCATTGAAGATTGAAAGACTTAAAAACAAACAATTGCACAGTAAAATAAGGTCTATTTGCTACACGCCGTCTCTCACTTACCCGGGTGTTACTGCCCATGCTGCTTCCCTGCGGGGCCCCAGAGGTCTGCTGCAGTCTCAGCCGGTCAGCCGGCCCTTTAAGCCAGCGGAGCAAACTAATCTCACAGCCGAGTGCCTGAGTGCTGCAGGGGGCCGGCGGTGGACGGAGCGGTTACTCAGCAGGAGATCACAACAGCACGAGGGATTAGAGGCTCAGGCCTCCTATTCCCTCAGCTGCATCACATGCAGCCATTCATCCTGACCAGGGTTTAAGTTCATTGATTAAGATGACGGTTAATATTTGATACAAGTTCATTGTAGTTAGTTTCTATGCATTTCTTTTTCTACGTACTTTGCCTTAACAATCCACAAGAATCAGTTTATCTTTGATTCTCGGCGAAAGTTTGCGTCGCATCAGAAGAATTCCATCCCGCCGCTCTTGAGTTCTTGTGTGTCACGGGGCTAATGACCTTTGACCTCCTCATCAGCTCATTCTGTAAACAACCCCCGGGCGTGGGCTCAAGCGCCACACAACCCAAAGACAAACCGACGCGGAGGTGGAAGAATATGTTTTATTCAGACTTCCATGTGGCACGTTTGATAAACTATTGAAACATTTGAGGAATTCTGTATCAAACACAATAATACAAATGCAAAGGGCCGCTTTGAACACTGAACCAGCCGACAGAACATCTTCCTTAATGAAGTTTGACTTCCCCTGCTGCTCGTTGCATTTACTTGATATGCAATGTTATTTCATTAAATGGTGTTTCTGTCTTTATTAAAACGGAAGATCAAAAAAAAACATTTGCTATTGTACAATATTTACATTTTCACAGGTATTTAATTGAGGGATCTGAGGATGTAAACATTAATTGAGGAAATGCTGCCACCTCTTTGAACAAAGTGATTTACTGTTTTGTGTATTAATGTGTGTTCATAAAAAATAAAAAAGGAATTTCAGTCAATGCAAAGCAACCACACTGATCCAAAGTGCTTGTGAAGTGTTGTTGTCTCATCTTCCCTTAATTAGAACAACAAAAAACTAAGTTGGTCATAAGTTAACCTAGTGGCGGACATAACTAAAAAGCACCCCCCCCCCACCGCTTTCATCCCTCCTCTACATCTGTAAAGATGTTGCACAAGAAGTACTGAGACACACTGGTGGGCTCCTCCTCCACCGAGTCCCCCGGCCATGAAGAGGACACCTGCAGCGCGAGAAGAACAGAGAATCAGCAGCCATCAACGGCGTGTGGGTGGATGTCACCTCCACCCCGCCGCCCCTCGCCCCTCGCCCCTCGTCCCTCGCCCCTCGCCCCTCGCCCCTCACCTCGGGTGACGGCGCCGTGGTAAATGCTGGGTGGGTTTCTTCTGCCGGCCGAGCGACCTCGCGTGACGTAGAAGCTGCGGGTGGAGCAGATCGTTTCGCAGCCGCCCGCGGAGTTCGGGCCTCCGGGCCCTCGGAAGCTGCTTTGCCGGGCGGCGCGTCAGGTGGAGGCGCCGTGTCGATGGTCTCAGAGGGGTTTCTGGGGGCTTTGGGGTTTCTGTCAGGTATCGGAAGGTAAAAATCAGTTTAAAAAAAAAAAAAAAAAACGATTTGCTTTTCATCATTTACCAAGAACCATCGAGGTGAACTACAGATGTGGATAAGTAACCGTGAAAATCCGAAACATTCCACTAAAGGACTTCTTTTACCTATTCCGGCTGCCTTTCCGCCGAGCGCTTTGTGCTCCCGAGCCGGAGCGTTCCCCGGCGTCGCTCCCACCTTCCAGAGTCTCCTTTGCCACGTCTACCTGATGGCCACTCCCATCCCGCGGCTCCCGGGCGACATCATCAAGGGCTTTCGGCGGCGCCACTTCGTCCTTGGCGACGGTCTTTGCGGCCTGTCTCCTCGTTGACGTCCTTGGCTTAACCTGCTCTTTGACTGATTACAAGAGAACGCCATGAAAAAATTGTGTGCTTTATTTGCTGAGAGTGCATGTGATCAGGAATCAGGAAACATTTATTGCCAAAGTATGTCAAACATACAAGGAATTTGACTTTGCGGTTGGTGCGTGACAGTAGACAGTGTAACAATAAGACAGCAGTGCACAAGTAATAAATAAAATTAAATAAAATTAAATTAAATTTAAAAAATAAAATAATAAATAAATAAAATAATAAATAAATAAAATAAAAATAAAAATAAAAATAAAAATAAAAATAAAAATAAAAATAAAAAAAATATAAAATAAAATAAAATAAAATGCTAATGCTATGGGTTAGTAGAATAAGGCTATGGGTTAGTATAAAATAAGAGAATAAAGTTAGTTAAAAATTAAAAATATTTAAAAAGTTAAAAAATAAAGTGCACTAGTTGAGATTTGTGTGACACGTACCTCTCCTCCTAGTGGCCCTCGGCCCATCGGCTTTTGTAGGCGGAGTTCCATAGTCATTCCCTGCAGTGTCTGCTAACTTAGACGGATGCACTGTGGTACAAACAATCAACACGCACAATCAGCATTGTGACATCGGCCGTTGGTTTATATGACAGCTTAAAATAATGCTCTCTACCATCTGCCGCCGCTGGATCCTCCACGATCAAACCCTGCCGTGTGTGAGGAAAGAACACATGTGAACACACACGTTCGATCGCATTGCGGCCGCACGTGGTTCCGCTCAACTTCGCTCACCGCGCACGCCCCGGCGTCCTGACGGACGAGGCCCGTCTCGCCGCTCCCCTCCAGGCACGCAGCCGCCGACGCCGCCGACCACTCCCCGGGAACGCCGATGGCCGAAGGCTGTGGGAGCAGAAAATCCTTTTCCGCGCACGGGACGACCCCCTGAGGGGGAAGGGCGGCCACGGGCCTCTCTTGCTCAGCTGCAGGGCGATAGGGGAGGGGTTCTGGCACCGTGACGGGGATCTCAGTCAGAGAGAGGATGAAGAACGGTTCGTCTTCATCTCTGGGCACCTCCTTCAACAGCACTGAGGGGGGGAAAAGAAGAAAAGAAGGGTTTCAGCTAAAAAGCTTTATGCACCCACTGTAAATAATTGGCAGGACAACTGAAATCGAACTTACAGTCTGGAAATACTGAGAGATTTGGAGTCTGCGTCTCCCCTGTGATTGACGTGGAGGCATCCTGTAATTGTTGTCGAATTAGTTCTTAACAGATCTTCTTCAATGGTACATCCCTGCTCAGAATAGCCGTACTCAAAGTGCATGACAGGTGGAGGTGCATGGAAGCTCCACCTCGTCAAGAATGTGTGGGGCAACTACCTAGTTTATCTAAGTACGTAAATGGTCTGTCTAAAGCTGACTCACTTTTCACACACCCACAGGCAACCGGCAAAACAACACCTGGGGTGCAATTACCGGGTAATTACTGCCTTACAATACGGACACATTTAAAAAAAGAGAAATTGCTATATGTTATTAATACTTCGTTGCGCATGCAGGCCGACTATGACCCAGACCAACACGAGAGCCTGTTCGCAACACACACAGATATTGCTCAGATATTGGCAGCTTACCTGGGTACAACCGTCGGGAGCTCGAGTCAAACAACCCAGAGAGGAACCAGCAAAGTCTGCGGGGGGGTCGTGTTGGGTGACTTGCGTCAGGCTGCTCGGGGTCGAGCCGGAGTCATTTTGAGAAGAGCTCCGGTCACCGCATTGCACAACAGCGCCCTCTGCTGGGCCCGGGACGCCGGGCCGCAGTTCAGACACACTGTGGAAAACGGGGCCGTCGAAATCTGTGGAGAAGAAGAACCGTTGGAGGGGGATGTGGTGGTCAGTGAAGGCCCCGCGGGGTCACAGGCGCCGGTGAAGAAGAATATCTGCTCAGTCCCACCTCTCGCCGCTGCTTTTGTCTCTGGAACTTGCCCGGGTAGTGGAGGCCGGCCGCTGCGAGCCAGACTGGGCTTGGGTCTAATGAGCCGCCCGCGAACAGCCCGAGGGGCTTTTCTTGAGTCGGGTGACTCAGTGCTTGAGGTGGAAAACACACTCCGTTACACAACAACCTCGTGAAAACAGTATTTATATCGTCTTTTTGGGGACAGAATCAGGGAAATGTGGTTCACGTCTTACTTTGGGGCAGCTGGTTGATTCTCCTCCTGACTGCGGGCCTCGCAGTCTTCCCTAGCAAGTGGCCGCTGAGTGCTTTGTGTTGGACCAGCTGGTGACGGCGTCTTGGATGGGGGCACAGTCTCTGAGGGGGGGTCCGCGTGGCACCGCTCTGGGGGTTTGCTAATGTCACGTGACTGCTGTTTAGCGCGTGCAGCTCTGGGGGACGACCCCACGTTGGGTTTGACTTTAGCGAAGCGTTGCCTGCGCAGGGGAACACTCTGTTCCGAGCCGAGTCCACGTCCGGCACCCGTCTTCTGCTCCTCGGTTGAAGACATGTCCTCCGTGGTTTTAGGGGGAGAGCGCAATTCCGGCGATGGTTCTGTCACTGAAGCAGCACTTTTACTTCGGCTCGGCTCTTCGGGACGGGCGCCACTGCAAGGTGGCGTCGCTTCTTCCACTGCTGCCGCGTTTTCAGGGGGCCGGGGCCCTGACGTCCCGCCGGGGGGCGTCTCGCCGAGCCGCACGGCGGGGACAGGGTCCCCTGTGGTTTCAGGTTTGCACCGCGCAGTCCTCGGCGCTTGTGATACGTTGGGTTTGGGTTTGGGTTTTTGTAATCGACGCCTCGCGGTCTGGCAAGCGGGCGCGGCGCCCTCCCCTCCCCTCCCGCCGCCGGGCAGCTCCTCCACTTGTGATTCGGTGACCGCGGCGGGGTCGGACGCCGTCCGAGGATCGACGCGACTTCCCCCGGCTGCCGGCGGTTTCTCCTCGAAGGGCTTCCAACGGTTTGCGGCCGGCTCCCTCGCGGGTTCGGGCCGGGCTTCTGAGAGCTGCTGGTTCTCGGAGACATTCCGATTGGACGTTTCTGCGCCGGATGCTACCCGACCAACAACCTCGTCGTCCGGCTTTTTCTCTTCCGTTGCAGGCTGCTCTTCTGTGGCTGTGGGGGCGGAGCTTAGGTCCACCGAAGCAGAATCAGGGGCGGGGCCGCAAGTCGGCTCGGCTTCAACCGCCGCAATAGTTTCTTCAGGTAATTTGGGGTTCGGAGTTTGGTCGGAGTCTTTCGTGGGTTGAGATTTGGTCCTCGATGTGCGTGCCAGGTTGACTTTGGGTTTGACTTTCTGGAATCGACTCTTCCTGGTCGGGGGAGAAGACCCCACCTTCCTCTCCGCCTTCTGACCGACAACGGGTGTCACGCGCGCACCCGGGTGGTCGCCGCTCTCTTGGACCTGGGCGGAGTCGGCGTTTGGCCCGTGTCCCGGCTGGGATTCTGTGGCTGCTGCCCCACCGGGAGGCACCGGGGCTTCAGCTGGAGATCTCGAGTAGGGAGTCCGGTATTCTGATGCACTCTGATCTGAATGGGGTTGTCCTTCACCAGCAGACTCCTTCTCACAGCCGTCCGCCGCTGACGGTGTCTCTGTGGTTTGGGAAGCGTCAGCTCTCCTCGCTGTTGACGTCCCTGGGTGGGATTTTGAATGAGACGTCCCTGAGGCCCGGCCGGGGTTAGGTTTCTCCTCGGAGGAGCCTCCTTTCTTTGGGTCCAAATCAGAATCAGCTCTCTGATCACAGCATTCAACAACAGGAATGTCCTCACTTTCTCCTCCGCTGTGGAGGACGGTAACATTATCTGATGTTTCTATTATTTCACGATCAGCGGTGGCAGACTTGAGAGGAGCCACGCTGTTTTCATCGAGTAGAGCAGGCGTCCCGTTCTTCAGGTGTGGGATGCTTTCTTTCACGTGGGCCAGAGTCGTCCCTGCAGGTTATCACAAATGTCCATTTTTAATTCCCTGTAATCGAATCAAACAGGAAATCATTCTTCTGCGCCTCCAACCTGTTTCGTGATCTTCTACTGTTTGATCCTGTGCCGACTGAGGGAGGTGAGCCAGGTTGCCGATGGTCAACAAGGTCTGAGCAGCTTCATTGTAGCTCTCGTCCTCGGATACTAAAGCAAAAAGGAAAATGTATGAGACTTTGAAACAATATAAATATAAAAGTCACTCAGAACACCTCTTAAAATGTACCTTCTGCGTGGTCCAAGGAAAGGAGGTCTACGACATCCTGTAAGGGAAACGGATATCTTGTGAGTCACATCGAAACGCCGCCTATAAGTCAGACTAGACTTGAAATCTGGTGTTTACATCTGGACATCAGCTCACGGATGCAAACGGCGTTTTAACTAACCGCCTTTTTGTAGCGAAAGCGTTCAAAAATGAAAAGCGTTTGATCCAACCGAAAACCAAACGCATGCACTCAAACTTAAAAGGGGGAGATGTTTGAGATAACACGGTATTTCATCTGTGTAATTGGTGTTAATAATATAATTACCGTGGCACAATAAATCAGGCTTCATGAACTTACAACGAGCAGGTCCAGCTGATGGTCAGTGGGCTCAGCTGCGTCTGCCTCATGTGGTGCCCGCTCGCAAGAGGCTTCAGGGCACAGAGCATCTTGGGAGATGCCCAACACATCGGGGATATTGGCAAAGATATCAAGCTTCGTGTGGGAAGTCAAGAGTGCAGGGCGTGAGTTATGGAATGGAAAAGCGTGCATAAAGAATAACCAATTCCAAAAAAAACCCGAAAAGTGCATCTTATGTGAACTATGTAACGAAGGTTAAAATAGGACATAGAATGAATGGATGGCGTGCATCCGTGAAACGGTCCCACGTACCTCCTCCAGCGTCTCCTCCACCTGTGACATCACAGGTCGCAGCGAGCGCAGGCTGGCGGGCACAAAGGGTGCTCCTCCGGGTGGCTCCTCCTCCACATCTTCTTCTTGGTGCTTTTCATCCTCCTCGTCACTGTAGTCTGACTGAGAAGCCACGATGGTGACCAGTTTAGGCTTTTTGGACTCTCGGGGGGACCTTAGCTTTGGTGGTCTTCCCCTCTTGGCTGTGCATTTGGAACTGGGCCTGCCGGCAGAAGCCGTGGGCCCCTCTGGTGGGGCAGGAGGGGCTTCGGGTGCGGCCTCCTTGCCGGGGTAGTTCAGGGGCTTGACGGGTTTAGGCAATCTCCCGTACCTTTAAAACACAAACACAGAGCGATGAAGATGCAATGCTTCTATCCCAATATACACACATTATACACACAGGGGGCATAGGAACGTTTTCTGCACCCTGTCGTGAGAACATTAAATATTATACCTGGTCGTCTTCGGAGGTTGAGCGGTGGCATCGTCTTCTTCAGAGTTCTCATCTTGACCTGAAGGCGAAGCGTCTTTATCGACCTGGAAAAGTTTGCATGAACTCCGATTAGCCAAATTTAACAACGCTAAGAAATATCTGATGTCTCTGAACCGTAGAAATGAATAAATAATGACCTGCTCTGCGGCTCCTCCGTCCGTTACACCCTCCTCCCCTTCCTCCGGCGCGGCGTCGCTGCTCTTTGTGGAGGGCGGTGGGGGCTTTTTACCCCACTTCCGGCCCAACGGCAGGAGCGGTTTCGGGGCTCGGCCTCGTGACAGCTTAGCTGGCTTGATTTTGGCCCCCGTGGCTTCGCGCGCACTCTCTGCCTCTTTAGACCTGAATGGCGGGACAAAGCGGGGAACGTTATTGTCAGACGGAGCTGCAAATCGTTCTCTCTCTGGTTCAAAGGTCAATTACATGTCTGATGTTGGACAGTCTTCAGGAAGTGCTGCCTCGGTGTCCTCGGGTGTCCAGCCCTCATCTGAACATATAAAAGCAACAAGTGTAAATATTACATACGCATTTTTTTCATTGGCAAGTATTGAATAACTTGATAAATGAACTGAATGTTGTTGTACCTTCGTTGCTCTTTTCTCCCATTTTGTTTTTCTTGTCACTTGGTTCCTCGGTCAAAGCCTCCGTTTTGCACTTTCTTTTACGTTTCTTCTTCGGCTTTGCAACATCAGCTCCTTCCTCGTTCTCTTTCTCTCCCTCCTCCTCCAACTCGGCAATTTCATTTTGCTCTTCCTCGTCTTCTTCTTCCACAACGCTCAGGTTCCTCGCGGCCTTTTTCCCTGTAGAAGGAAATTAAAATACACAAGTGGTGTAGAAGTGAGACGAGCAAAGCAGCTGTTGGATCAACAACTCACTGAGCAGTACGCATGGAGGACGTAGTTACCCTTTGCCTTTCTCGTGGTCGTCTTGGGGGATTTCTTCCCAGCGAGCGACCGGAGTTTCTTCCTGTTCTCCTGAACTTCCAGAATCTTCTCTAGCAGCTTAGAAAAATACTCTATGTCCAGTTTGCGCCTTTCCCCTACAAAATAATTCCCAATAAAGAAAAACCTCATTAATCAGTAAACAAATAAAACTAGATAAAACATTTTGCCCTACAGGATACTTACGGAAAGCTTTGTCAACCCTCCAGGAATTCTCTCGCTCTTCTTTTTTAAATTTGTTCTGAAAGTTTTAAAATAATTACAACCAATCCAGGCAAGAATCGCGTTGTGTGTTCATATCATATTCTATGAATATACGGTCATCTGTATTCATCACCAACCTTTATCTCTGATCGCGCTCGGAGAGGAAACAGTTGACAAATCATGGAAAAGTCTGTTCCCACCATGCTAACGGCCAGGAAGAACATGTCCGTCTCTGGTGCAAAACCGCAAAAGAGCCAGAGACGTTAACAGCAAACAGGAACCACTGCACAATGCGTGATATAACAACGTCAGGGTTCATTTATCCTTTATCCATGTTGCTCAAACCTTCGCTGGACCAGGGCTTTGTGTAGGTCCCTTTCCGGAAGCTTGCGTAAGTTGTAGTGGAGCCACGCTCAAATATGGGATCCCGGTCGTTGGCTGGATTTGGTCCTTTGGCCCGCTGGACTTCCACTGTCAAGCTGAGACGACAACGTAGCAATGTTTGTACTTGGAGGAGAAAGAACATCTCTTGCGTGTAGATAAAACAGGTTCATTTTGAAAAGCTGTAGGAGCCCACCAACCTCTCCTCATCAATGATCAGGGTGCCGTCCTCGGCTACTTTGACCTGGGGAACCATCACGCTGTCATCCTCGTCTTCCTCTTCCTCATCCAGCTCCTCTTCCACCTGCCTCGGGGTTCCTATTTTGGGGATCGCCTCAAGCTTCTGCGATCTCTCCGGTGACCTGCAGGGATTGCGTCCGAAGACACGAGGCAGGAGGAAGGGGTTGGTACACGCATGTCTCATCAAGCACCATCAGCACGCTCATCATGTCCACATTCAAATCATTTAAATCTCAAGTCAAGTTTTGAGATTTTAGAAATACGGACGGGATGAACTTACGCATCTCCTCCTGGAGAAGGTGGGACCACGGTCTCATTGCCCGGAGCGGGTTCTTGCATTTTCGCACTTGGAAGCAAGCGCGCAAAAGAAGTAGCATAAGACGAGGTTTTCATTTTTCCGATAGGAATAAACAATAGAAAACATGAATTGTGGAGGTATGAACAAGCTTGACTTTTGCAGAAGAGACACTTACGTCATGGGGTTAGACTCCGGGAGATAGCGGATGAGCTCGCTCATGGTCATTTTGGCGGGATCTAGGTTATATTCCTTTACACGCGTGTTTGTTTTCCTGCGTTTCTGCAAAAATCAAACGGCTGCGCTGGTTTAATGTATAAACTCAAGATATATCTATTCCATATCTTACCAATACGTTACTTAACTTAAAGAGGAACGACAACGAGGAGCAGCACACTGATGGATAATCCGAACGCACCTTGTCTTTATGCATCTCCTGTTTGAGCAGATCTCGGAGCTTTTGGGCCTTTGCGATCCTCTGTATGTCTGATGGGTCATTCAGGAGCCTGCTCAAGGAGAACGCTGATGGCGAGGGACAACGCCGGCTCTTAGATGATACGAGAGTCTTGGCTCTCTCTGACAGCTCCATAGCTTCTCTGTCCAGGATGGAAAAGGGGACTTTGTCCTGTAACTTGGATGGAACTCCTTCAACTTGACTGTCCGACGTGCTTTGGGATTCCCTGCCGCCGTCCGCTGGCGGATTTTCCGCCGACTCAGCCAAAGGTTCCGGGCTGTCGGAAGGGACGAGGGTCTGTTTAGGTTGCATTTTGGGCTGCTTGCTCTCTCCTGAAGACCTCCGACGCCTCGGCGACTGGAGCCTCTGCGGGGCGACCGCGGCCGCAGTTTGTCTGGACGTAGTTGGCTTGTCGGGGCCCGAGGCCGGCACCTCAACGGGAGTTTCAGACGCCGCCTTGACGGGGGATTTCTGCGCGCGAGCAACTGCGGAGGGGCGGCCCGGGGCCACTTTGGGCTTGATGGAAAAGCGCTTTCTTCGTTGCAGTGCAGCCGGGGTGCCGGTATTTTCCCCGTGTTGCCCATTGCCATCCCTAAACAATAGTGGGAATAGTTATATTCGCGTAACAAAAGGAATATCGTGCGATGTATCGCCTGACACTCACCCTGGGGCTTCAGGTTTTTCTGACGGGGTCCCGACAGGCTGGCTGTCAGTCACTGCAGCGCTGCCGCCCTCTGCAACGTCTTTGGGGGTCTCGCTGGCGTCCTGACTCGCCGAGGGGGCCTCCTGAGCCGTCCTGCCCGTCGCACCGACATTGGGCCGAGCGCTGAATCGTGACCGACGAAACATTTTCGCCCTGAAAGCAAACGGGGAGGTGCATCGGCGTCACAACAGTAAAAAGCTGACAACCAGCTCAGAGTGACATATTACTTCAGAACATTTCCCAGAATGCAGTTTTTTGCAGGTCTTGCAGGTCTTGTCTCAAGCAGAACGGTGTTATGTCCTGGAGTATAACGGTAAGTCTGCAGTATAAATGCTTTACATTATCTGACTAATTTATCATTAGCGTAGTAATCTTGAGGGAATAGTCCTCCTGTTTTGAGTGTATTTGATATATTTTTAGTGCAACTTTAAGCAACTACTGCAACATTATACTTTATGCACCCAAACATCACGTATTTCTCACGCACTAGAAATAAAACCTTGTTCTCTCGTAGCTTCGGTCTTCTGAAGTGCAGACCTAAGCTAACGTTGCTCTTTCGGCCCTGGAGAAGTCTGACGTTTGGACGTGAAGGCCGGAAGTACCAACAGAGGTAAAGGAGCTAGTAAGGGGTGTTCAAAGCAATGCACAACAGCGTAAAACAATGCGCCAATTATGGACCAAAACATGTCAAAACGTGCGCAAAGCTAAGCTCAAACTCGCATGACAACACCTGGCAGTCCGCCCGACCTGGACCGTCCTATCGTTACTGTTGTGGACCTGAGACAAGTACTTTCAAACTTCAGTGACGTCTAATTGTGTTAATATTCTGTAAACAACGTACCTGGTCAACAATATGTCGTTTGTTGGGAGAAATAACCTTTTTTTTTTTAAATCAGCGACGGATGGCAAGCAGCGGACCCCATGGACACACTAATCCGCCATGTTTTTCGTGACGCGGTATTTTCTTGCGCTGCAATGGCTTGTGGGAAATGTAGTCAGGTTGCTGCGGCGCAGTGGATGAGGAAAGACCTCGTAACCGAGCGTGTGCTGTTGTCAGGGAATGTGTGGGCATTGCGCTGCTATTGGGCAAAAGGTTGTACAGTTCTTTAGTTTTTTCATGTCTTTATTCAGTGGGTACGAGTATGATACACAAATACAAATACACCAGTCCTAGAACACAGCAATGAAATGTAGATGCGATTAGCCATCGAATAGTACATTTTAAATATTCCTACTTGGCTATTAGTAGTGAAATATTGAGTCAAGCAATGAGCTCAAGAATATTTCATACAAATGTAACAAAATGAGGAAACTCAAATCTACAGTAGTTCCAATCAGACCTCAAGCTTAGTGACGAGGAGTTCCACAGTTGAATCATGTTTAATGTAACAGAATGACAGTGACGCGCTGAGCGCCCGCGCTTAAGGATTACTTATGATGCTCCAAATAGATTTGGCTGACGGTAATTTTCTCTCAATACTTTAGGTGTATACACGCTCATTAGATCTCTATTAAACATTTTATATATTTAAAGGATATGGACCTTAAGTATTCATTGATATAGTTTATAGAAACATCTATACGAGTATGAAGAAAGCACTGGACAACTCACAGGATTATGATTGACTTACTTTATTTATTTAATACAGACAGCATCAGCAGTGAATCTCTTTGGACAGAACTTTATACACACACACACACACACACCTTTCCTGAGCAGATCAGTACAAAACATTTACTTCTTAGATCAGTGGTCTTGAGAAATAAGGAAACTACTGATTTGATAGGAAAAACACAACATTCTACCTGAAAGTGTAAAAAAAGGGGGTGGGACAGGGACAAGAGTGAGAAAAGTTCATTTTTTTCGATTGTCTCGCGCAGGTCGTCCCAAAGGTGGTCATTCAATATGAAGATTTCCATTTGCTCCACTTCAACTGTGATGGCAAAGGGAAGCAAAAGTGAAAACAATTGTGGTCACCCTGTAGAGATGATGCAAGTTAAGGAATGATCAAACATGAACATATACTTACTCATACAGTTGGGTTCAAGCAAAGGGATTTCCAAAAGGATCCCCGAAAGACTGACCGACTGCAGCAGTCGGCTGTAAGGTTAAAAAATAAAATAGGCCCATTACAAATTATTTCTTGGGATGCTGAATAAAAGGTTTAAATATGCATCTTTATAAATGTACCATGACTGCAGGCGGTGCCCCAAAGAGACTGGACTCGGGAGACCCGAATGCGTTGTCGAACATGTCCTGACCGAGCCCTTGGGCCGGTGCAGAGTTGCTTGCGATGGGAGCGGCGGAGAAGGCGGCATTGAGGAGGCCGGGGTTGAAGCTCGGAGCTGCGGCCGGAGCAGGCGCTAGTTTAGGAAAATGCAATGCAAGTCAGCGACAAGTCTCAGTTACAGTCACACGGCAAGTGGACAGAATGTCAGTTTGATTACCGTTAACAACAGCTGACATTTGATTGATGTCAAAGTCATCGTGATCTGCGGTGTCCTGAGCGAGGCCCACTTTGCTGTTAAAGTACTGATCGAAGGCGCCGGCGTCGCCGCTGCCGGGCCCTGCGGCCGCCAGCTCCCCTTTCCTCGCCGGGATGGCAGGAGGTTTGGCAATCTGGAAGTCCTTGAACATGTCTTTTCCCATCTTCTTCTCTCTATCTCCAAGGGGGTCCAAAGCGGTGAAGGCGCTGTTCTCAACCTGCGCCGGTGCCTCCTTACCGGGCGGCCGAGGAGGCGGGCGGGACGGACCCTGGTGGTCGCCCAGCGCAGGGAACGGGACGGGTTGGAAAGGATTGGACATGACCGGCTGACCCCAACCGGGAGCGCCAGCCGGCGGAGGCTGGCCCCAGTTGAGGTGGGGCGGAGATAAAGGCGCGGCGCCGAACTGAGGCCGCACCGGAGCGCCCCACACCGCGGGTGGTGCTGGTACGCCGCCGAAGGCAGACTGCTGGGGGTAGGCGGGCCTCGGCCCTGGAGCCGGCACTCCTTGCAGGGGGAACATGGACGGCGGCGCCATGGAGGCTCCCCACACGCCTGCAGCGGGGACTCCCATCGAAGCTGAAGGACCCAACTGGAGATTTCCTGAATATTAAAAAAAAAAAAAAATAAGTTAAGAGAATGAAATATAAAAGGACAACTTTAGATCTCATAAGTGCTCCTCCTGTGCATTACCCAGTGCAGCTATGGAGGGGGGCGTTGTGCTGTTGAAAAAGTCACCCGAGGAAGACGAGCCTTCAGAGTGAACTGGAGCAGAAAATAGCTCCGCGCCAAACAGGTCACTTACTGTGGACTGGTGACACAGAACAGAACATGCACGTCATTTACAGATTATACACACACACACGTATTTTTGCACCTCGTTCACAGATCTACATCCTACCTACGCGATGACTGAAATACTACGGAATGATATTAACTGATACGCATGCTTTGCCACTTACCAGCGCTTTCATCACTGAAGCGTGAACGTTAGAAAAATCGATTTAGAGCAGAGAAAGAAAAAAAAAAAAAAGGTACAGGCCAAAGTTCAGCAGCAGTAAAGTGTCTTTTTTTTTTTTCAAGCCAGTTAGAGAAGTAAAGGACCACCAGTGCATGCAGGAAGACAGACTGGATCAAACCCTTACATACAACTAAATTACAGGCCCAGCATCTCACCCCAACCATCGTGTGGCGTTTCCCGTCAGACACCAATGCATAACACCCAAGCGTTGAGAAAAGGGAGATGTTAGCAACCCAAGTGGTTTTCCATGAAACGTGCATTCCACCCATTTACAGGCATCACGCATGCAGCCCTACGATGCCTCATCCATCACCTTTGCGCTCCTTCGACCTCGTCCGGCCTTAGAGCTCTGCGGAGGCGGGCTTATGACAACTGAATCCCTGCTATGAGTCGGTTGCGGGTGATGCGTTACGCCGTTAGACACGGGCCCGGTTAGTAAAGGGGAGTCGAAAAATGGGTTTTTGGTCGAGAGAGCCGTCGCAGATTCATTCAGGTCCATCATGGTAATTGTGTTGCCCTGAGACATCGTGCCCCCTAGTGGCCACTGCCCGTTATTGAGCGCGAGGATCATGGTCTTACTGGACAAGTCATTCATCTGCTCCGCGAGGTGTTCGGGGTCTCCAATCAAACCGCCGTTACCCATCGCCTTACAGGCGCTGCCGGCCGCGCCGTTCAGGTGATTAGCGGCGCCGACGGGGACCTGGGGATTGTCGGCTTCCGACCAAGCGGGCGGTTTGGAAAGGGGGTCGTCTCTGAAAGGGTCACTGTCTGGGGTTGGAAAGTAGCCAAACGTGGAGGAAAATGGATTCTCTGTCTGGGGAGAGGTCCTACGGTCGGGGCCACAGGAAGTGGCAAAGGAGTGACCCTTTATGCAATTCTGATTGCTGTCAACTTCAGCGGAAAAGTCCAGCAAGGGCATATCATTAGAGTCCTGGTTAACATGGGGACAGTGAGAGAGAAAAAAATGGATTTATGAGTCAGTTCTGCAGGAGAAGACACGCGTTATCAAAATGAAGAATTAATCACAAACGTAAAGCTGCTACCTGTAGAATATTCACCCCTACAGATCAGCACGCATGCTAAACGCAGCGGCGAAGCAAAGTCTAGAGTTCATATTCCAAGTTGACAATTTAAGACTGTACTAAACTCTTGCATGCTTTGGACAGCAGGAAGGTTTTTGAATATGCTGAAGTCAGCAGCTGCTCACTGGCCAGAGGCCCAGTTAGTGAGCTGGCGTAGCAACGGATGTAAAAAAAACCACTGCAAGTGTGCACGTGTCAAAGGAAATGACAATGTCATGGGTTCTACTTGTAGCAGCTTTGTAAAAAAAGGGTTGGACAAACAATTGGAATGGTACAAACTCAATTCTTAAAGAGCCCTTTGACGTCTAAAATAGGCAAATTACATTTATAAAACCACCAATTATATTGTGACAATTCGAGAATTGAGTTCATACATATGGAATGATTTGGGAAGTGATGTTATTCAGTGCAGAAAAATCAGCCATCGATCGCATTTTATACAAGAGGCCACGTGTATTCCCTACTTTTAATATGCATTCAAAAATGTGCATGTAAAACGATGCAAATGTCCAGCTGCACCTCGTTGGTGAAGCACAATTCCTCTCTGTTGCCCAGATCTTTAAAAAAAAAAAAGGGACCATTTTGTGGAGGCACACTTACATTCGGAGACTGGATGTCTGGAGGGGTCGACATGGCTCCAAAAAGGTCAAGCTGCTCCACCGGCTGCAGGCAGGAAAAAAAAAAAGAAAAGAAACTGAAACATGCAGTCATGATCCCGCTTCTAGAACTAGGATACGTTATTGAATGTGGAGAAAGACTCACTTGAGCAGCTTTTACTTCTGCAGCCACACCGGGCGAAGCGCCGCTTCCATTCTGAAAACAAGCCAGACAGGTCAGGCACAGAGTCGGAGAAGCGGTTTGAAGAAAACAAGCGCTCCCAAGTGCTTACCTCCACCACAGTGCTGCCATTTTCCCCCTGGAAACAGAGGTGGACTGTTAATGACTACACTTATTTTCTTAATTTTCGCTGGAGGCACGCGTCATTTCACATCATTTCGATGGAATGTCGGAGGATGTGATTCGTTGGGAGAACACAGAGAGGCAGTGTTTGAATTCAGGGAGGGGCAAAAACGATGTGCACCCCCTCCCGGGTGACCACACCAGAACGCTGCTCTTTCACGGAAGAAAAATGTTCACTGTACAACTTCTGAAATAATGAAAAAAAAGGAACAGTTTTCGGTTTGAAGTGCAGCTAATTCTGAACGCGTTACCTTCTGAGAGGCCTCTACTTCCTTCTTCCTCACGTTGAAGATGACCTGGAAGAGATCTTTCAGATCAACGACCAGCGGCTCTGCCTGGAAGGACACAGAGAGGCGTTGACTGCCCTGCAGCGCAGAGTTGTGCGCGATGTTGTGCGGCCCCGTTCATCTGGGAGCGTTACCTGTTGCGCCGTCTTGATGGCGAAGAACTGATGCTGCCCCTCTGCGCCGCACACGTATCCAAACGCCCGGTTGTCCGTCACATCTCTGGCGATGAAGGAGATCTTACTCACCATATGCTCGTGTTCGATCACCTGAGTTATGGAGGGGAAAGAAAATAAATAAGTCAGTCAAAGGCTCCGTCAGAAGGCCGAACACAACCACATTAACCTCATTGCGTGACGCGAAGGCAGAACTTACTCCTGATTTCTCATCGATGATCTTGATGCCCGACATGGAGATGTTGACCCAGATCCTCTGTTTGTGTTTGCCTTGGGACCGAGCAGCCACCGCCATGCCCTGGTGTCAAAGTAACAACACGTGCAGTTTTCCATCTTTTGCGAAACAAGTTGTGCAACTTGAAGTCCCAAAACTGGTGAATTAGTCATTTTTTTTGCACTCGTTCCCTCAGATTTATGTAGTTCTAATAAAGCTCAACATCTGCCACAGCTTAAAATCTGCAAACAAGAAGAACCCAGCAGCACGATGTGGACTTCCTGGTTGGCCTACAAAAAAACAAAAATAAAAAAGTCCATGTAGCACCTTGTACCTGCGTAGTGTCGCCCTCTGCAATGAGACAGATGGTGCAAAAGAGAATCCACAATGCCCACAACGCACATAACTTATTGAAAAACATCAGCAATAGCAGCTTTAAAATGCACGGTGCAAAGTCCTATTCTGCACCTTAAGTTTCATCATGGAGTCCTGTGACATCTTGTCTCCTCTGGCGTCTTGGACGTCATCCACGCCAATCAGCTTGGCCTTGTACCTCACGCCATCCCCTTGAAATCTGCCCAGCAGGTACTCATCGGTCTTCTCGGACACTGTAAAAAGAAAGACCCATCAAGTAAACTAAGATTTTACGCGATGAGACCACACGTCTCAATGCCCCCCCAACGTGCCGCTCACCTTTCTTCTTCTCTTTCCTGAACGGGACCTTGGACGTGGCCGTCGCAGGCGAGGTGGGAGGGGTGGCGGCCGAGGCCGCAGGTGGCGAAGCGATGCCGGGCTCGGCGGGGAGGGGCGCGCTGCTCTCCACCTCTGCAGACATGGTGCGGCGCGAGCTTCACCTGGACAAGTGGACAGTCGGGGGGGGGGGGGAGGTTAAAGCTGCGGCGAGGTCAACCGGACAGACGAGTCAACACCCACACATGCTTTCCTTGGCTTCTGAGGCGGAAAAAGTGAAGGATGAAAAGTGAGTTGAAGGCATTTGTGAAACTGCAAACTAAAAATTGGACGGCAAAGAAACCACTTTAAGTACCGCTGAAGCTGTCGCTCACACCATAAACAATAAAAATAGGTTAAAACGCCGTAAACATTTACGACTACAGGAACAGCCTTGAGATGGAGCGGTACAGCAAGACACATGATCCATAAAACATCACGGCATCGTGAGGACCCAGGTCACACGCGTCAACACAAAAGATAGGAAGCGACCGAGCAGGTGCCGCTTCTAACAAATATACGGTCCTCCCGCAATCAAATCTGACTGTTATCTATGGAGGTTATTCCCTCCATAGATAGAGATTTAACCACACAGACCCTTAAAGAAAAACCAAGCATGCTGGCGGTATTTGCATGTGGTGGCACCAACCGTTTCAACCACAGTCAAACACCTGTAAACCGCAGGAACCCAACGGCAACCTCACATGAGGCAGGAGCGGACGAATCAAAGTGGTACCAGCTGCACGCACTCAGGCACAACCGATGGCAAAGCGGCTCCGTGTGGGACGTACGGACCTTTAGTACCAGCAGCAGAGGACGCGCGCTCGCCGTGGGACGGACCAAAGGTTGGAAGCGGGCAAAGGTTGGGCAATTACCCGAGGTTAATGTTACGCTAGCACAGCGCAGGATCTCGTGATGCTCAGTTTAGCAGCTACAAAAAAGGAAACGAGAGCCTTCGTACAGCCCGGAGGCGGAGTGCGACCTCGGCTGTTGCTCGTTCATCCACAACGATGTCAAGCGGTCCTAAAATGTGTAAGCAGGGTAAAAAGAGCCTCAGGAAAAGGAGAACACCACAATTCAAATCAGTGTTGTTTTCATTCAAAGACATTGTTAACACAACACACAAAAAAAAAATCTAGAGATACGGTTTATGAGCAAATTAAGTAATCAGTCCGATGCATAAAAATGAAATTACAGCCATACAGGAGGCAATAAGATACCAGGTCATCGAGGGCAAACTGCCTCATCTCCATTAAGCAAATCAGACCAAATGGCTGTTTGACTCACAGGAGCTGCTGCACAGCTGTAAAACGATCAGAAGCAGATTCCCTCCTTGCAGGCCGCACCTCATATGTGCAGGTGACGTTTAGACACATGTGCAGCTCGTTGTGTGACTGAAACAAGACCAGGCCAAAGGCTGGTTGTCGCTCCAGTCACACAAGCGGAACACGTGTCCCATAAAAACAGCGGTGTCACATCCCGCTCGCTGGAGGAGAGGCGAATAAAAATTTTAAAAAATTAAAAAAAGTGAGTTAAGGGTTAGATGAACACTAACAGGCGGACAGTGGGGAGAAGAGGACGGTGTCGTGACACAAATAGCACTGGACACAAAAAGGTCAGCAGAATAACTGCGGCGAAAAGGCAGAAATGTCACAATCCTGCGCCGTCAGGAAGCGTACACTGCCGCACATCTGGAGGAAATCAGGCAATGACTCAGTGAGCGAGATGGTGAAACAGCGCCGAGGACACGAAGGCCGCGCGCACCGCGTCCACGCCTGGATAATTAAACCAGGACGGTGGAGATGCGCGAGACCAACTGACCTCCGGGCGAAACGCTCAAAGTTGAGACGCGCGTGATTTTTAAGAGTTGGGTCGTACTCCCGGGGCGGTGTTGCAGGACAGGACAGCGAGCGGCGGGGGGGGGAAGCAGCTCGGCGGAGAGAAACGCGCACGGACCTCCGGGAAGGTTTTATCACCTCCGCTGCGACGTCACTCAAAAAAAAGGAAGACACCCTAGAAACCGGCGCGCGCGCTTACCTGCGTGAAACCGAGACGTGGACGCGCCGCAGTTTGAGGGGGGGGGGGGGAAACTCTCACTTTAGTTCCCCGAGTTTTTGCCTCGGCGGCTGAAAGAAAGAAAAAAAGAAAAGAAAAAGCCGAGCCGAGCCGAGCCGAACCGGGCAGGAGTCCGCTGAGAGGAGGGAGAGAGGGAGAGAGACCGCTGCGACCTGCCCGCTTAACCCCTCACGCGCTGACTGACGCACGCAACGGGCTGCGGACTTTAAAGGGAAAAGGGGGCGGGCTCTGGACGCCGCCGAACGTCACCCCCGTCACCGCCACCCGCCGAGGGTGGAGGAGAACGCGCAACCAGGGCCAGTGGGAAGCGGGTCACGGGGGGCAAACGTTAGGTTGTCTCATATGAGGAGAGATTTGACACTTATTTAATTAAAGAGGCAATTATGCAGATTTTTTTAATAAACAGACCAATTGAGAAAAGGGGGGGGGCTTAATGAACCCACGTGACTGTCACTCTGCTCCATGGAGCTTCAGAGCTTCTTTCAGCTCATTGTTGTTGGTTCTCAGGACCTCCAAGAAAAGGTCTAAATCACGGTTGGTGGGAAAGCAAAGTAGATTTAGCTGTTGGTTCGACGTTCGGAGTGAATGTTGCTCCTCGTGGGAAACAAGCAGTCAACCCGAAGGCGCAGCGTGTGGGAATTTACCGGCCGACGGCGGTGAAGTTGCAGATGGCGGCCAACTGAGATTGCAAAAGCGTGAAGGAGAACCGCTGTGGGCGATGTGAAAAAGGGAGAGAACGGTCCTACGGTTTGGTTTGTCCGGTCTGGCTTACTGTAGAAACACGACGGCTCTGTTAAAGGCCATAAGTAGGTATAAAAGCCTCGTTCGAAGGTAACAAAAAGGCACACTGTTCCTTTAAAAGATGATGCGTTGATGGGGTTTTTTCTGCTGGCCCCAAGTGGCCCAAAAGTTAATGCAGCATTTACGTTCCAATATATTTACCTCCCAAGTAGGTCCCCGCTGCCGAGGCTTTGGGTAATGTGAACATATGATTTTCATTTGATAGAAAATGGCAAAAGCTGAGATGAAGCAAGGGCTGCTTTGTTGCTCAACATTTCAGAAGTGGCCATAAAAAAAGCGCAAATGTATCCCGACTTCCTCCGTCGACAGCATTGGATGACTTTCTAATTAAAAAGGGATTAAAAGGTCATTCGCGGAATCGCAGAGGGAGTGAGGGGAAACGAACAACCAATGGTGGAAAATGGGTCAAATTCCTCAGCATAAATGTCTATTTTGCTTTTTCGACAGCATACGGTGATTTAGCCCTCTAATGATGGTTTTTATATTTACCCGTCTCGTCTCTGAATGCCAGTTGGGAGATTCCCAGATTGAAAATCCTCAAGTCGCAGAGGGAGCGTTGCGACCCGTGTTTGCAGAAGCATTAATGTGTGTTTGTTTGGGATGATTAAGTGGGGAACCAGGTTGTTAGTATAAGCAGGGACAGCCACCATTAAAAAGACAAAGAGCTTCTTCCGCGGAAAGACAAAGACGTAGAAACGAATCATTGGGAAAGGAAATCAAACATCACGTGTAACATATAATTCTGCACTCAGACATGCGCCACGGTGATGTCACTGTTGGTGGGTTTCACTTCTGTAAAACATTGTTCTTTTTCCAGAGAGCCATCGACTAACATGAATCTCATTTCACATATCAGACAACATACAAGTGACTGATGGGTGACTCGACCGCACGTATTGTTCCCACAGCTCTCACACACGGTACGCTCATGCATGCAGATCCATACAGATGCACGAAAGGAGAGAGCACGGTGCACATCGCCCTGCAGGGCCATCAGCGGCGATAACTTCAACCCAGGCAGTCTTCTGGTTGTATTTGTGCTTTGTATTTATGTAGTTCTGCCACATCGAAAACTGCTCGACGGTTCAGAGACGTACCGTATTCTGGGATGTTGCGTTGCGAGCTGAGAAAAAGGCCAGAGGAAGGACTCGCTTCCTGCCTTTGTATCCTGTGTTCTGCTGACAGAGGCTGGTTTTTAGGGGATGAGCCCATCAGAAGCCAAGATAAGTGACTAGCTGAGAGTCTGTTTTCCCTTCAGCCAGCGACCACTGGAATGATCTCCTTCATAACCTCTCATTAAACATTTTAAATCATCAGAAGAAGCCCGGGAACAAACGCGTGTATCTGTAGCTGCAGCACATCTGACACTCAAAAGGCAATTTATATTGTTATGTTATGCCTTTTATGACCAGTATATCAATGCAACAATATGCATGTCCAGTATATGATAAAATCATGTAACCTTTTCTCTTTAATGACGCGTCTCTCCGGTCCTGCATCACTGACCGATGACACTTCGAATGATGGTTCCCATTTCTTCTAAATGTGATTGTGGTCGTTTTAGATCAGTGGCCCAACCCCAATGTAACCGCACACTCGCATGGAAGAGGACACGTTGGATGCTACTTGTGCCACTCGTGTAAAAAGCACTGTGTGGGAAAAGGAAAAGTTTGGGAGTTCGTTTTGCCGAAAAAGATTCCAGATGGCGCAAGTCAGCACATACTCATGAGAGGGTTTATTTTTGTGCCGTAACGCTGACGCAGACAATGGGAAGTGCCCTCTTGTGAAGGCCACTATCCAAACATGCAGCGTTTAGGGCGCCAGAACCCGCTGCCCCCCACAACCAGAACCTTAGATAGCCACTGATCTCCAGCCCATCATTTAGGTCGTCTTAGATGTGATCCTCTCTGTCCGACTGCCAACTGCCGCGGATAAATAAATATGAATCAGAGTAGCAGGAAGCAGCGTCATCGCTTTCTGACGCATGCGATGACAAACTCTACGTTGCGCGCGTAAGTTAAAGTAAAGCCGGGCGATCGGCTGTCGCACAAGTGTTTCCACACAGTTCCAACTGCCCCCCCCCTCCAAAGAAAACAGGAAGTATTTCTACTAAGGAGAAATATTGGCCAAGCACCTTACCTACCCTCTGGCTTCCTGAGAAAGCTGGGAGGAAACTGCCGAACGTCGTAAAAAAGGGGTGACCTCAGCACATATTTGTGCCTCTCCGGCGGGCCGTGACCACACAGCCCCCCCCCAGCCTACCCCCGGCTATGCTCGCAGATTCATGGAAAGAACAGCGACGCCCCCCCCCCCCATCCCCCAGGTTGACTTTGGCCACATCAGGGAATAGTCCGAGTGTGTTTATGTAAGTTAGCAGAAAGTACCTGTCAGAATGCTGCACTCAGTGAGAATCTGTTCACGAGCAATGATTCGCCGGATCGCGAATTATTAGCTAATTTGATCATAATCATGAAGAATCCACTTTGCAGTTCGCCGCCGCTTTCATCTGGCCACCCAGAGAAGTCATCTGCACTCCCTGCTTCGTCGTCCAGACACACCGCAGTCCCTCCTTTTTTGTAGAACTGCAGACTCAGCAGAAGCCACTCGGATCACATGAGGGATCGTTAGGTGAAACCGTCCCAAGCACCCGGTGCACGGGGCAAGGCTTGTTTGGACGTTATATTTTGAAACAGCGTTTGAATGGTCAGCGAGGGACGTTAGTTGGCCATTTTGGAAAAGTTGTTACAGTCTTCACGTTGGTGGTGGGCCGGCTTCATTGGCCTGTCCACCATTAGCGTGTGAAGACACGTCGTCTGCACTTCAGAAGCCGTGCAGGCAGAACGTGAGGACAGTTTGGCCACAGCGAGGGGGATAGCTGCGCAATCTGAGAAGGTGATCCAAATGTACCATGGACATCAGCCTCTTTCCATATTAGCTCTGCCCTGGAGAACTGCATTTTACTGGAAACGACCTTGCTCAAGCGTTCCCAAAATAAAAATTAACTTTTTTTTGTTTACCTTCAACATATGTGCAGACTCGTGCACATCTAGCTGAGCGTGAGTTTATTTGTCTCTGTGGCTTTGAGTCAATCGTGGTGTATTTATTGGGGGATAAAAATGAATCAACTTACTTTTTTGTTCTTGCCTCTGCTCACGCAGTGAAGAACAAATTATACCGACAGGATGAGTAACATGTTTTAATTCAAACACACACTTTAAACTTTGACACGGGCACTGAATCAATATCAGCTGAAATCCAAACTGTTGACTTAGACGACAACAACATGGTCCTTTTGCACTTGAACAATCATTGACGGAGAGGGAGCAGCTCAAACGACTTCACGAGGACGGACGCGCAGCACCATTTGTCTCCTCGGGCGTTCATCATGCGGACCAGAGTTGCTCTCCAGCTGGGCTTCTGTCTCACTCTGATGCTTCTTGGAACTGGAATGTACGTATATTGGATATTTAGTTTGCAAGGATTGTTGTTGTGTTCACGTAGTGAGGCTCTCTCGCGTCACATAATATCACTTTAATAGGGGACAGGACGTTCCTGATCCACCGCCGGTAGACTGTGTTTGGGGCCACTGGTCAGAGTGGAGCTTGTGTGATAATTGCACAAATTCTAGGGTGAGTCCATTCAAACTGTAGCAACTGAGCACAGAACTCAATAACTAATATTAATAAACTAATTAAATGAAAAAGACAATTTTCTTATTTTGTAATTTTTTTAATATAATTGAACGTTTTAATGGTTTGACAATCTGGTAATTGAGAATGTCATTTTTCTTGAATAACGCAACTGTATATAACCCTATTTAATGTAGTTGAGCTACCTTTAATTACATACTACATATTTAGATGGTATTTGATGATCTATTCACTAAAACAGATTGTAACTCCATTGAGACGGTATCTCCATTTTTAATTTTTAAAAATATTTTGCTGTCAGCCTAATAGTAACACAATCATAAACTCCCTGCTCTCTGCCTTTGACCCTCAACTATGGGGCGCCGTTTGTAAAATGTCGCACGTTCTAAAATCCTGCGCAGTTTTGCGCAACATTTTTATTTATATTTAACATTTACATTTCACATTTATATTTACATTTAACATTTATATATAACATTTATATTTAGATTTACATTTGATATTTATATTATTTAACAACTTTGTGTTACTGCCAAACAATATCAAGTTATTGCATAAATTTACATGAATTTCTCTCTAAATGTTTGAAAAAGTGCCACGAATATCATCGTGCTTTTTGTTCATATGATAATGCTAAATGTAGCAAACCTGTGCAGGATTTTAGAATGTGCGACATTTTACAAACGGCGCCCCATACTCAACAAGCTGCGATGTCACCTGTGATCCTCAGAGGCGCACTCGCAGCGTGGAAGTGTTCGGCCAGTTCGGCGGTGACGTCTGCCACGGCTCAATGGGGGACGTTGAGTCCTGTGAACCAGACGGCGTTTGCACCAAACCGCCTCCACCTGTGTGCTCCGACTCGGAGTTCCAGTGCGAGTCGGGTATACTTTCGCTTCACGCTAGCACCGTCACAGATGTTGTAGCCTTTGGCCGCTGTAAAGTACCTGTCCGGGTATCCGAGCCTCATCAGCTTGATTCCCGCAGGTCCTTGCATCAGTAAAAGACTACAGTGCAACGGGGACTACGACTGTGAGGATGGATCAGATGAGGACTGCGAACCTCTTCATAAGCCCTGTGGTCGGGACGTCCTGGATAACAACGAACAAGGCAGGACGGCAGGATACGGGTGAATAAGATGGAGGCGTTGGCGCGTTTTCAACGCCACATAAGCCCTTTCATAACCCCTTTAGAATCTCAGCTGTGACACTGCATCTGTGTCTTTGCACCAGAATCAACATCTTGGGTCTGGAGCCTCGAATCAACCCCTTCTACAACGACTTCTTCAACGGGAGGTGCACACGAGTGAGGAACCCGTACACTTTGAAGCACGACCGGCTTCCCTGGAATGTCGGTGTGCTCGACTATCAGGTGAGCTGCAACCATTTGTGAAACGGCGATTTCCATCGGTGAGGATGCGGAGAATTCTGTCTTCCCTTTTAATGCCCCCTATTCCTTCCAGACTATAGTGGAAGAAACCGCCTCGAAGGAAATTTATGAAGAAGCACACGGGGTCATGAAAGAGATGCTGACAGAGGACAGCCTTAAAGCTGGTGTCGTAGTTACCTTAAATTTCGCCGCAAAGGCGCCATCCGTGACTGTGCTGTCCAACTCTACTGGAAAGGCTTTGGCAGAAGCTCAATTCGACAGGAACAAATTGATTAGGGACGTCAACGATTACTCAAAAGTTAAGGTAAAAAAAATCTGCGCAGTGTCTTTCTCAAATGAATCGGGGCCTTGCGATTGTGTTCTCTGACCGATGCTTCTCACCTGCACACTCAGAACAAGAGCTTCATGAGGGTGAAGGGCTCCGTGCAGCTGAGCACCTACAGGATGCGCTCCCGGGACCTCAGAACAGCCGACGAATTCCTTCAGCATGTCAAATCTCTGCCTATCAAGTATGAGAGGGGGATTTATTTTGCCTTCCTGGAGGACTACGGAACTCACTACACCAAAAACGGGAAGACCGGCGGCGAATATGAGTTGATCTACGTTCTCAACCAGGACACCATCAAGAAGAAAGGTAGGAGCGCGCCGCAGTCCCTCTTCCAACTACTTGTCGCCAGGTTGCTCTCACCGTCTGTACTTTGTGATCCTCGCAGATCTGACGGAGAGAAAGATTCAAAGATGCATAAAAGTAGGCATCACAGCCGACTTCACAGGCTTCATTCAGATCAAGGGAGACGTGAATCATGGGGGATGCAATGCCGTGACGAACAAAGACTCAGGTGTGCTTTCCCTGTTTCAGCTGATCACACTGATAAAGAAGTAAAGGTCTCCATCTTAGTAAAACACACTATGCCACATGTATACGTAGAGTTATTGGTTGCCAGGATTGATGCTCTGGCACACTGGCCATGAGAGCCTGAACTATGAAAGATACCATTACATTAAGCGAATCCAATCCAGTCCTCTCAACCCAGAACCCATGAATACATTGTGATTAGTAGGAGTAAGGTTTACAGTTGTGTATCTGGTGTGTGAGGTCCCTAAAAGTTTCCCCCTGTCGCACAGTTGATGATGAGGGGAAAGCAGTGGTGGACAAGGTGCTGACATCGGTCAGAGGAGGCACTCTGGAAAGTGCTGTCGCCATGCGGGCTAAATTGAATAGCGACGGAGTGATGGACATCCCCACCTTTCAGAACTGGGCCCGGACGCTCGCCGACCTGCCCGCGCTGCTCTACAGCGAGGTAGCTTTGACGGATTGGTGATCTTTACAGGCGTCGCGCTGTGAGGACAACAGTTTGTTGTTTTTCAGATGGATGATTGTGACATTTTGTATGCTGGATAGATTCCTCTGACTTTCTCTTTAGCGCCTCCATGAGGTTCACATTTGATCTGTTGGATAGATACCAAATAGCCATCCGATATGGTTGGACCGATACCTGCGTAACAATAAGCACATTAGCATTGTCCTTCAGAGCATGCTGGCATTTAGCGTAAATAGAGTTTACCATATTACCATATTCTGGCAAGTGAAATGGTGCACCGTTTGATATTTTTTACCTGACAGGCAGAGCCCATCTACATGTTAGTCCCACTGGACATGCCTGGCGCCAACACGAGGATATCGAACCTGAAGCGGGCCACTGCGGACTACGTGGCAGAGTACAACGTGTGCAAGTGTAAGCCTTGTCACAACGGGGCCACTCTGACTCTGCTGGGCGGGAGGTGCGTGTGCCTGTGCCCACACCTGTACGAAGGCCTGGCCTGCCAGAATTACAAGATCGACAAAGCTCAGGACCTAGGTAAGAGGGAGCGGATGCATCGCGGCGGCGGCGGCGGCGAGCCTGCCGAGGCACCAGCTGTGCCGTGCGCAGCGCTTTAGCTCGTCTTTTGAGAATGCTGTATGCGCAGGTGCGGCACCGACCGTAAACCAGGAGGGTAACTGGTCGTGCTGGTCCAGCTGGTCCAGCTGCAGGGGAGCGAAGCGCACCAGGACACGCAGCTGCAACACCGATGGGCTCCTGGAAGCTGTGTGCAGGGGAGACTCCAACAATGAAGACCCCTGCTAAGAGGAGGCGCTACATCTCTGACACACAGTCACAGAGCTGAGGATTTAAGGCCATTAACATTCTCACCTTTGTTAGGAGAACAGAGCCACCTTGAGGTCAGTAGTAGATAATGCAGGTTTGCATGTCTTGTTAATTTCTTTTTTATTTTAAATGTTTTAAAGTTTGAGGAGACTATCAAGGGTAAAGAAGTATAGGATTTTTTAAAATTTAAAAAACAGGTCGAATCCAGCATACGTTTTAAATAAAGATTTTTTTGCAACAATCCTCCACTACACACTGTTGACGTTTGCATTGAATCGACACTGGCTATGATTTAAGTGCCTATAAGTTCTCTTCATCTTGCAGGATTATAACAGGTCAAATTAAAGGGAATTCCTCAGAAACCTCTTTTTTCAAACGTCAGCACTGTCTTTTACAGCAGCAAAGCCATAAGCAGCAGAAGGAAACAGCGTGTCATGTTAAGGATGCTCCCAACAAATAGGGTGCATCATTTCATAACCGACTGACCGAAGGACTCTGACCCCCCCGGGGGGGCAGCGCCGCCCACCTACGTTATCATAGTTTATGGTTTTTAGAATTAACCCAAAGGAGAAAACAACGACCCGTGTTTTTTTTTTTCGTCCTGCCCTTTTGCCACGTCACCGTGATGAGGAGGCGGAAGCTAGCTGAATTAGCATGCTCATTTCAGTACGCACAAACATCTTTGTAATAATGTTAACAAAGGAATCCTTCATTCAAACCTCACATTAAACAAATGAAAAAACATCAACATTCACTTTTTGATGTTTTAAACGTCAGGCCTGGTGAGATATTGCATTAATCAGTCTTGCTTTTAGATCCAGAAGAACTTTGACCACAAACAATACACTGTATGGGTTAAAATAGCGTTGGCCCGAGTATGTATTAATGGGCTAATAACTCATCTTTAAAGGCACGAGCACATTCCAGCTGGCCGCGCTGCGTAAATGAGAACCAGATGAGCAGAGGGAGGGTGGAGCGAGAACTGACGGAGAACAACTATAGACTTTTGGGTTTGGACATGAACATTACGTAAAGAGAGACATTATATACGGTGACAGAAACTTTTGTTAAGGTCACTTTGAAACTCTATAAGTGGAAACAAAAGCAGCACCAGGATACAAATATATTGTTTACATGTAATGTAAACTCATTCTATGTCATTGTTAACATATCAGTGTGCAAATCCTTCAATCGGTCAAAGACAAGTCTAATGGCAGAGTGATTAGAGATACAGACAATACTTTACATGAGTGCATGTTTTTGTATTTACTTGGAGAGACAAATGCCAAATAAAAGGCCCTTGGAAATGTCACAAAGGTCAAGGCGCAGGTATGAATGAATGAATCGAACCTCTGCAGAGATTAGGCTCTGCAAAAATCATTACCACCGAGTTATTGCTTTCACGCCAGTGGACTTGCCAAAAAGGATGACTGTCATGTTTGCCGAGCTTAACGGCCTTTGATTTCCGTGTTTGCTCACGGATTTAGTCCTTTAAGCGGCAATAGTGCAGGCATGACTGGAGATCCTCGTGCCTTGTTAACCAAACAGCGGCGCACTGCCGCCGCCTTGCACTACATTTTAGGAATGCACACAGAGCGGCGAGACGGAAATGAGCTCATTAAAGGTGTTTATTTTCTCCTTGTTTTAGAGGAACAGTGAAATCTTGAAGGCGTCAAACCCTGCACGTTATCAAAAACGTCTTTCATAAATAGACAGTTTAAATCCAAAGGAGTGTGTGTCTGTCGTCCGTGTGTGTGTGTGTAGTGGGGGGTGATGAATGCTACTTGAGCGCTAACCACCGGGGGTGGTACCCCTTGGCCCTTAGGATGTCAGCATAATGGAGTAAAACTTTGGGACCTTATTGAGCTCCGGGGAGACCCCATTCACTGCGGACAGCGACCCGGCCTCGGCCCATTATCTTAGGCCAAGATGTTTTGTTCTTTCTTCAGCCTTCAACAGAACAGTTAGCACAAAATAATGAACCCCCTCCTCGTCCATGGACTGCCCGGTTCTCTTTTTGCTAATATTTAGTCGCAATCCTCAACAGAAGAAACCTCCAACGCAGAAATGAATGGCACTTTTGGGGTTATTCATCAAACACACTTCATTATGTGGAGGAACATTTTCCATCTGGGAAAATGCGCCGTCTCAAAATCCATTCGGACGGGATTATTACGTAAATCCTGAGCCCGGGGAAAAACATCTTCATGGCCAACTGCAAAACGTACGGCTGGACGGCATCAGCAACGTCTTCTGGGTACTTTTCAAAGCTTAAACACAGAGTAGTTCATTTTACTTCACAGCAGCTTCAGTTATTTACTCCGCAAACCCGTTTCCCACCCGCAACAAAAAGAATCTACGGCCGCTTTCAAAACGCCGCCCATTGTTTGCTCCTGTCATAAACACATAGTCCCGGCCTTCAATGGAGGAGAGGTAAGGGATATTTTTTTTTAAACAAAAGCCCTTAGAAGGGTGTGAAAGGAGCCCCCTCGCACTCCTAAACGCCTGCACACAGTTGGTGGTGCCCCCCTCCCCACTTCCCCGGGTCACTAAAGGCATTGAAGTTTGAGAGGGCTGCTACGGCAGATTACTCCACACAGCTGTCCCCAGCACCGTGGAAATGAAGTTATGCCCCTTGTCAGCTATGTTTTGTTTGAGTGCCCCCCCCGCCCCCCCCCCCTGAACCCCCCGGCCCCACCTCCTGTTCTTCTCGCACTCCTTTGCACCGCTAGTGCTCTTTGGTGGCAGGGGGGGAGGTGATCAGGGGAGGCAACTGAGGGACAATTCCTCCAGCCAGGGCGGGTAGAGAAAACCCGTCGGATTGGTTGATTAAATATTCCCTGTGTGCGTCGTTATACCGAGAGGCTTAAAATCCCTGACATTCAGCCCCCCACACCCTAGTGTTCCCCTCCCCCGGGAACCCTCAATCATAAATCAACCCCTCCTCCACCTTTCCCAACTGTGTAAAAGCCTTCCCCAAGTCCACCGCAACCCCAAAAAACATCCGATTATTGTCGGTCACTTTGGTTTTCTCACTTTGGTTTTTGTATTTTTAGTCAAAACTTAAATATTAGTATCAAGAATACTTCAAATGTGAGCATGTATGAACATAAACCGCTTTTTGGAACATAGAAGTTGGATCAAATAGCCATACGACTCCCCCCCAGCTTAATTCAATGCTACAGCATGACTTTTTTTCCTCCGCTCTGCAAAAAGGCCGACTTTAGTCCAACAATAATCCCAAAAGATTTATTTAAAGACTAAACAACAGTAGATGAGGTTTCTACGTTTACTTGTTAGCTTAGCGGAAACCCGACCGTGCTTATTTGATTCTATAAGGGCCAGCGGGGCGTAGTGCCATCTAGTGGCGATCTTCCAGACTGCAACCGGCCGAATGCAACTGAATCAAAAGCATCTTCTTCTTTCATCAATGACTGACAGTTTGAAAATAGGCTCAAAAGGGAAAAAAGTGTGTTTGGCAGCTGAGAAGTTTCTGAATTATTTGGCAAAGTTCCACTGGGACTTCAGGAGCGAGGCAGTTACTGCATTCCATCTGCACTCACCAAACTTGAGCATAGTGGGAATCGGCCCAAGACAAATCTGTGTTTTAATCAGATCAGGACGCCGAGTCTCGCGGTATGCTGACGTATTTCGGGGAACATACTGATTCACGTTACTCCAGTGGCTACACAATACATCAACGTCCAGCTCCGGTACCATTGCCTGTTTGCTTTTCCCAGTGTACCCTAGAGGGGGAGATGGGGGAGACGGGGGGGGGTCCAGGGCGGGGCAGAGTTAAGGTCGGCCAAGTAGCAGTTTGAGTTATGCTGAGGCATTTTTAATGATGTTCGGTGTCCCGCAGCAAAAGCTCTTCAGTCTCGGCAGGGGGAGAAAAAAAAACACAACATTCCCATTTTTCTTTGTTGCCAAAAGTTGATTGAAAACATTTCAGGGCAAATGATGGCTTGGGGCCCCACGTACGGAACGCATCCCTTTTTTATTCTCAACAATGATAAAAAAGGCATTACAATTATTAATGGTTGGAGCAGAGGCCTTCCGTCTTAAAGTGACAGTGGCCGCTTTTGGCTTCCCACAACAAAGGCCCTCAACTGCCTTCAGCGCCTCGTTTTGTTGGCCTTTTTTTCAACAATCTCCGCAGACAGAAAGACTCTTTAAACAATGATAGTTTTTTTTCGTTCCTGTTGAGTTTCAAACCTTAACGTCATCCTCATAGAAGTCGTCAGAGACTTCGGCCAGAGAACCGACCGCCGCACAGATGAACGTATCCGCCGGACTTCAACGGAGTAACAGAAGCTGAACTTTCTCACATACCTCCTCTGTCTTCCTCCGGGGATAACGGGCCTCCTCGCGCTCCCCCCACACCCTGAAAGAGGGTGACGCGGTGAATGAAGTGCCCCCACACATTGTGCCGCTGCACCATTGTGTATTTTGCATCTCCATAATAGAAGTGCCACTCGACTTCTCTCCCCGATCAATGGGCTGGAGGGCCCATCGCTTTTCCCTGAAAAGGAACATGGCCGCCATCAATGGTTTTCGAGGGCCATTATCACGAGTGAAGGAGGAGGACACTGGCTTTTTGGTAAGTATAGAGAGCCGACCGTCTCATAACATCGGGCGCAGGCGCGTAAACGGACGTGTGTTCCCAGCACCGCCGCTGCTTTCACCCATTAAAAACGGCATTTTACTGTGAAAATGGACCTAGTATCAGGATGCAACAAGTTGTCTTTTGAAAAAAACTGTGAGCGCATTTAAATTTTTCTCACCCTCGGGACATTTTCAGCGTGTTGGAACTGGAACTGTACAGATTGCAAACAATTATAAGTCTACCGAGCTGTTGATTCAGGAAGCAAAATAGGTCAAATGAATTGTTTTAAGGCCGACAGTCTACTGCGAGTAGTACTGCCTCTTACACCTTAGATAATGCATCTCAAGTAAATATCAAGAACACCCAAAGAGCTGCGACTGGAAAAAGGCATAAAGAGTTAAATCCACAGTGAAACGTTTCTGAAGCTGCGTTTTCAGTTTAACCGGTGAATAACCGTTAAAACGCCTTCAGAAAAGAGTTGGTCCCAGATCCATCTGGCGATGGATTCAAATATGCACACCAGTCGTAAGAAAAGATTAGAAAACAAGATAAGATGTGTAATCTGAGGTACTTAAAGAACAAAGACTCCTGTAGAATTACCAACATTTCTTTGCTCCACCCGGAAGGGATAAAAAAACGCTAAGACGGAGCCCCACATGAACCATTTGCCAACTGCTCTCTATTTAATGTGCGCGTACATTCAGAGGAGTGTGTCGGCCGCTTAATCTCTCCACCCACACACACACACACACACATCTTCTCAGCGGGTCTTTTGTGAAGACTTCTAACAAACAGCCGGGGCGAGGATAAACAAACCGAGCCACCAGCTCCTTTGGAGGAGCGATCCACCTTCCTTGTTTGAGCGCTTTTACTTTAAACCCACGTCTGCAGACACCAACGTTCACAAGGTCAAGTGTGTCGCTCTTGCATCTGCCCCCCCCGGGGGTTTCAGACGCACGTCAGTGGCTTGCATCAACTTTGGTTTTTAATGAAGGGGTTGTGGGAGAGAGAGTCTGTGTAGGAAAGCGCTCTGCTTTCACAGAAACGCCTCTGACTGGTCACATCGTGGGGAGTTGGGCCAGTTTTATCACCTCAAAAAAAACAAAAAAACAGGGGGGGGGATCTGATCATACAGTGCAAATCTTTTATTACTCATAAAGATATATTCTCACAAAAAAATAAATTTTATACAATATACTGTACAATCTATCTTTACATAGGTGGCATACAAAAAAAAGCTCCTTCGGGTATTTATCACATGGTGAAATATAACATTTGAGTGATTTACAAACATACAAGTGTGCTGAATTGGATTAATTTGCGCAGGCCAGAAGGTTCCGTGTTGCGTATAAAAGCCCCACATGTTAGTTCAAGGAGAAACGACGCAGAAGCCTCCGTCCAGCCGCCCTCGGCCCCTTTCAGATGCATTTGCTTAAAACCAAAATGGTGGTCAGAACGTTCAGCAAAGGAGTCCGAAACGGCGCCGAGCCGCCCGAGTCCTCCGCGTACTGATAATCCCCCTGGTCGACGTAATAGTCGTCGCCATCGTCCTCGGCGTCCGAGAAGCCGCTTCCCGCGAACCTCTCGGCCGGGTCGGCGCAGAAGGTCTTCATGCTGACTTTGATGTACTCGCAGATGTTCCTCTCCGCGCCGTCGCACTCGCACGTGTCCAGCTGCCGCGCCTTCGGTATGGCGCGCATGCCGGCGATGACCCGGCGGCAGCCGTCCGAGCACCGCTCGCCGCCGAACAGCTTGCGGCAGTGGAACAAGTAGTCCCTCATGGCGGAGCCGCACGGCTGGTCCAGCTCGCACTGCCGCCGGGCCTCCGTGCAGCCCACGGTGCTGGTGCGCGGCAGGCACGGCTCGATGGCCTCCTTGGTGGCGCGGCACACCGGGTCCACGACGCAGTCGCAGTCCTCCAGAGCCGGGCCGCTGCGGGTCAGGTTGAGCTGAATGAGGGACGAGATGCAGTGGCTGGGACACTTCCTGCGCTCCCCGCCGAGGACGGACGCGCAGGCGTAGAGGTACTGGTCGTACGCGTAATGGCACTCCGGCTCTCCGTGGCACTTGAGGATGGCTTTCCAGCAGACCAGCCGGCGGCCGTGGGGAGGCGACGCGACGCAGAGCCCGACGAGCAGGACCCACGCCGCGCTCATCAGAACCGCCGTCCGACCCATCAGTACGGCAGGACTTGCCGTGTCCCGGAAGAGCGAGTCTGGAGAAAGTTGGACTTCATGCGGGCTTCCGTGGCTCCATCGCGCTGCGTCACACCGGGGATCCTCCCGGACGGTTTCATACCCTGGAGGTCAGCGGACGATGCCCGCGACGAGCGAACGTCTCCGGTGTCGGAAGAAAACGCGAGAAGAGTTTGTTTCTTGGAGTCAGTCCGGTTCCGGAGACTCTCGCGCTACTTCGGAAACCCACAAAGACGCGTTATTTTGCGTCTTTTTGGGGGATATCACAAAACTTTTTGCCCCCCCAAAAAGAGGTATCCTTGTGCCCGAAGTCGCGCATCCAACTCCGCCTCCGACCCGCATCCACCCGAGCTGCAGCGGCTGTGAGGCGGAGGCGGGGCGGCGATGCGCGCACCAGGTTCCTGCGACGACCCTGATTGGTCCGACAGGCCGTGACGCAAGAAGCTGTTTTCAAACGGAAGTACGTAAAGAGAATTTTTTTTTAAAAACTTTTTATTAACTTCTTAAAGAATGAACTGAAACGTTGATGTACACATCACAGCTGTTTTTTAATTATTTCTATTTAATTATTTGAGTCCATCTGCTTTATAGCTGTGATCTTTAAGGCTAAAAGTGATGCTCTTATTTAAAGAATTCTACTTTAATATTCCAAAACACAAAACCCACTGAATGCACCAAAAGTAAAAGTTTCTTTATGAATGTAGTATTAATGGTCTATAGGCAAGTGATTATTCAAATTCTGCTAGGATTTGTATTAATTATCTGATAATGTGCCGAGGTATCCGCACATAGAAATCCTCTAAGTTGCACTCAAGCATCTCCCGTAGATGACTTTGTTTCTGGCTCCCGGATGGTTTCTCACACCTGCACGCGGCGCCTCCTTGGAGCACGCCGGGACGTCGTCGCCTCCCTCGCAGCAGGAGGAGACGACAGCTGCTGCAACACGCGCGCGCCGCTCCCGTCTCGCAGCGTTCCGCCATTAAAAACACACCCAGCCTCGATTACCAGCTACGACACCGGCGAACCCGAGCGCCCTGCAGACATTTGCACACACACACACACACACACACGCCAATAAAGGCATGTCGGCCTGGAGGTTTATGAGGTTTCCAGAGAAGGAGCTGCGAAAGCACCACAGGCCTTCACGCGGGATAAGTAAAACAATAAAAACTGGCCTTTTTTTTAGTGTGAGCAGCGGTGTGAGATGCTAATGACCCCATTCTTTACCTTCTGCTAAGGGCCTGGAGAAAAAAAAACGAAGTGCGAGGAGGAATAACAACTTCGGGCCGTGTAAACAAACAGCGAGTGCGTCAGTCGGGGGCCTCGAGGGGGCAACAGAGAAGAAAAGCACTCAGTCGCCCCGGGGTAGCTGTGTTCGTCTGACCCCCGTCGCACCAGCAGATCTGACAGCTCTCAGGGGGACCCTCACACCCCCCTCCGCCCCCCGCCACCTCCCACACTCCAATTAGAGAGATTAGAGAGGAGTCAAGACAAGTGCAGAAGAGTTTCATAGCCAAAGAACCCAAAACAGCCCCCCACCCTCCTACACCACCTCCTCCTCCTCCTCCTCCAGCTGGCACACCAGAGCAACAGGACGACTGCAGGCTCAGTTTAGAGCGACATCAAAGGTCAGGGAAAGCCCAAACGGTGGGCTGCTCAAGGGTCTCCGCGCAGAGAGGCCGCACAGCGCCCGTCCCTCCAACAACCAAAACTGGAGAACGCACGCCGGCCGCAGTTGCATTTCTCTTTTAAGGAGGCGTTCACACCGCGGAGCAGAACCAACATCCCATCGGCGCTGGATGGCGGCCAGATGAGAACAACGGCCGGATTGAGCCGAGCCAGTAAGCCGTGCGTGATGGAGCGGGCAGCTGCCCTCACTCACACGCTCCACTCGTGCAAACCAAACCTCTCCGATTGCTCGGAGGTAAATGTGCGCGCCGGCGTCCTTTGCATTCCTCGTGAAATCGGCTGGTCCTGCATGCGGCCGTTCACGGCGACTTGCACATAACAGTGTTTCCAGAATTGGAATGCGGTTCCCCAGAGTGGATTCGTAAATACTCACGCAGAGACAGACGTGCTCTTCAGTTTGTCTCCACTGCTGTCAGAAGTCATTAGACGCAAGCTGCAACGCCAGAATACTTTGTATTCAAGTGCTTTCAAGCCCGTAGAGAGGCCGAGAGAAAGGGGGGGGAGAGAGAGGGGGGAGAGAGAGGATGGAGGGGAGGGAAAGGAGTCAATATTAAAAAAGTGTTTTTCTCCCTGCACTTTTTTCCACTTCTCTGTGGCTCATGGAAACTTCTCATGTGTCCGTCTGACATGCGGATCCTTTGTCCTCGCTCGGTTCACATTACAGAGAAGTTTATAGGTTTTCACAACGTCGGTCTGCAGCGAGTCTGCGGTGAATCAGCCACACGGCACCGCAGGGATTCGGTTTTTCTGGAATGAGTTTGTGTGTTTTTGGTGACGCTGTGAAGTCAGAGCAGCAACAGTTGTTTTCAGCTTTTGGGGGCTCTGCGGTTACACAAGAGGCTACGCGACCAAGGGCGCTCCTTTGTCTGTCTTTTTGTTGTGCGCTGTATCGGCATTTGGTATCCAGACACCCGCAGAGGATCGATCTGACCCACTTTAGTGGCATTCTTAGTTCCAGGGCGATGCTTTCAAACGTCCGCCCGTCTCTCTATTCTGAGGATTTCCATGTAATCGGGTTGACGATCACCTCGAGAGGGACATTTAGCATTTAGCTGAGCAGCGTCTTTCTCTCTCTCCCGGTCTTGAGAGCACACTGCCGGCTGTTATCACACCAAAGATGTTTTGGGCTGGTGCCACATGTTCTCGGAGGGAAGCGTCCGAAGGGGAGCACAGCCACAAGTTCAAACACGGGTCCGGTGTGGCTGAAAAGTAGCCAAAGAGGCCTCGGGAATCTTCCCGACCGGCGAAGCCCAAAAGATTGCTCGGCGGTGCGTTACGAGGATGAACAGATCGATTGTTTTTTTTTAGTTCTCCATTAGCGAGGCCTCGTAGATTCCTTTGACATGTTTTTCCAGGGCAGATTAATGCCGCGGCAGGAAGTAAACCTGGATTACATTACAAACAGCCAGAGTGGATTTGGTTTCACTCAAGGATCTTGCAGGAAAGCAGACGCAGGGCCGTTGAACAGATCAGATAGTTAAACCTCAGACAGGAGGTAGACGCTGGCGTCGAGATAGCGGGTGCCGTAGTCGATTGATGACTCTGGCAGTAAAACCTGTGCTGTCAGAAGCAACGCTGAGCCCTGCAGTATAGAAACACAGGGGTCTGGTAACGATAAGATAACGGAGCCATTTCTCTTCAAAGGGGAGGGGGAGATAATAAATTCCCCCAGAGGTAAAAGGCTGTGTGTAAAAAAAAATAAAAGAAGGAGCTGTTCTGGAATGAAAGGAGAGGGCAAACAGGAGAGGGGGGGGTATGAAACCTTACTGCTCTCTCCAAACTCTGATCACGTCTCTCTACCCAGAGGATATATCGCTCCTCAGAGACAGACATGCCCCCCCCCACCTCCCCCCGACCCCAAAACAAAGGAGTCATTGTTCACGAGATCGAGGCCGCTGAAAGACGTGACGAAAAAAAGACAACCAAGCATCCACATTACAGGAGGCGAAGGGGGCAAAGGAGGTACGTCATGTCGATGGCGATCGCACTCCCCGGATCCCGGAGGAAGAGATACGGCGCTCGACTCAGGAGGCTCCTTCGTCGAGCTTTAATCCGCCGCCACATCGTGTTGATGTCAATGAATGCGGACGGTTCGGTGTAATGACTTTCGCCGTGTGGCGAGATGTGACGAGATGATCAAAGGCCTTTCGTATAGGTTATAAAATTAGGCCACACGAGGCGGCGACTTTCGGGGTCTGAATAAACTTGCCTGCAGGGTGCGCTCTGGGGCGGGGCTACCTTTTGATTGACAGGTTGAAACAAACAGGTTTGTAAAGAATCTTAGAACTTTAACCCTTTCACAGGAAGAGCTTCCAGGAAGTACACTTTAACATTTCAGCAGCCGTAAAGGCATTTGTTTGTGTCATTTCGGTTTTTTCGAAAAAAAGGCCCAAAAACCAAGAAGCTGAGCTCTGGGCTTCAAAACCTTACTTCACGAACCGATGGGTGACGCCAAGGAGACAACGTCCACTTCGTGTGGCGAGTCAAAGGCCACAGCCAGCGGCCCGTTAGCTGAGCTTGGCAAAAAAGTGGCCCGCGTAGAAAGAGGTGATGTTGTTTTCTTCAGACATGAGATACTTTAGTCGGAGCTGGAAGGGATCATTGGACGTTTGCCTCATCCACGTACGCACACACAGTCCCTCGGGGCAGAGCTGCAGAATACATGGTTGCCAGCCTTTCATTTCCTTTGCGCCGCTCTGAAAACTCAGTCGGCGGCATCCGGCCAAAGCGAGGCACATTTGTGAGCTCGATCTTTGAGGCGTAGCTGCTGTTTCAGGAGAGAGAAAATGAGATGTGACCCGGGGCTTCGCTGGCATTCAACTGGGGGGTGGGGGGGGGGGGGCGCTGTTTGAAAAGCACGGGCCATCGAGGAGACGCGTATCATTCCAGCGCGCTGCGAAAGACACATAAAGAACCGCAGAGCTGTATCACATGTGAAGAGCGACAACTCCAAAGATACCCAAGAGCTTCCTTTGTTATTCTGCATTCCCATTAATGTGGATGAAGAAGTCTGTGTCTACTTACTTACTTACTGTTCCTAAACTTTAATAGACACACATCCTGCAAGTGGAAAAGACTGCGGTGGCCAGAGGCTGCCACTGGGACAGTAACCACATGCTCTTAATCTAAACACACCACCCGGTGTCAGGCGCGGCACCGGCGGTGGTCTGGTCCAACTGTCCTGATCCGTGACACCGGGTTACGGATCCGCTGTATTTGATTACAACGCGGATGAAACAAGAGGAAAGATCGATTTTGTGCGTATTGATTGGAGGCTATTTTTGCAGATATTTAATACAACATCAAATGCGAAACTGAGAGAAGAAACTGAACCATCTTGGTGCAGCGAAAGTCTCAAGAGAGAAAAAAGCTTTGACTGTGGATGTGGAAATACAATGATGCAGTCTTGTGGTGTGAGGAAACTTGGACTGCTGCTTCCAAAAGAATTGAAATATGTATTTAGTTGGAAGTCGGTGGGGGGGGCAGAATCGGGGATGCGTCAGGCACAAATATGGGTCGTTTCTGGGCGAACGTTGGGGCAGTATTTGGATTAGCAGTCCGCTGCATTCAGGGTGGTCCGGGATGCAGAGTTTATTCTGAATTTAAACACAGGCTCTCAGTCTGCCTACTGTCACCGTGCTGAGGAAAGCCACGCTGACGAGTTAAACAAGAGGACGGTGGAGCTAATGTGGAGTCTGGTGACTGACAGAAAGAATCGAGTTCACCGCGTAGAAAGATTAAACTCAAACTCTTTCCGCGGGTGAAAGTCAAAGAAGGTTTCGCGTCGGTCGTTGCAACCCGTCACCCGCCCTCCTCTTAACTGCCGAAAAAAAGGAGGACGTCGAGTAAGCCGGCGGCTGCAGAGGGGAAAGGAAACAGAGCCTGTCTGGACACGGCTGGATATCAGAGACGAGACGAGAACAAGGCGGCAGGTACTGACCTGTCCTGGTAGACGGAAACAAAAGGGACGAGACGGCAGAGCAACCACCGACGTGTTGCATCACGTATCCCATCAAGTTGGCAGAGGCAGTGATTGTTTGATTAATACTAAAAACAGCCTCCTTTTATGAAATTAATTCTGCTTTTCTGAGTCAAATTAATAGTTGGAATAAATGCAGCAGAAGTGCCTCTCTTAAAACACCTCACACACACACACACACACACACACACACACACACACAGTAGCGAGGGCAAAATAAACAGGCTGGGTTTTGCTTTTCCTGTTAAATCTAAATATTGACTCAGTAACCCATAATCATACACAGTGGGAACAAGATGGAAATAAACAAAGGGGCCTGTAACGTAAAGTGTTGGCGTGTCTCGTGGGCACTGAGGCCCCTGAACGCCGACGCCGATAAATGCACGTGAAAGGGAGGAAACGGTTAAGTTTTTACTGAATACCAGACGATGTGGATCCCATCCAACGCGCTGGAGCTCCATAAATCGGTTTACGTTTTCTAGAAAGACAAAGAGGTCCGTTTGCGCGCCCGAGGCTTTAGTTTCTGATCGTACATCTGCCATCAATTCACATCATTTAACCGTCGCGTGACTCATATGCAATATTCTAAAGGGCGCAGGCGGCCAAGATGTCAGTTATAGAGAAACGGGGAAAGAGAAGTTTCCAAATGACATCAGCAGCCAGAGATCCACACAACTGTGGGATTTTCGAGCTGCAGCGTCAAGACTATTTTTCTCCTCCTTCGCTGAAAGCCCACGGACCACAAAGACGTCGCTCCTGAATAAACCGCGTCGATAGCACGCCGTTTGACTCCTTCCCGTCCTTTACGGCCACCGGGTGGGACGGTGTGTAAATGTCCCGTTACCCCCTCGGCCCGATAGAAAGAGGCCCGTACCGTTTAGGGCGAACGGGCTGCGGGGTTTTTTGTTTTGTTTTGAAAACTCACAAAGAACAGCAGCATCTTGTCATCAGCCTTTAATTTAAAAAATACAGGGTGTCTACAAATAACACTTACAGAGGCCATAACGGATTAGACACATACAGGCTGTTTAGGCTCAGTGGGGCTCCAGGTTCCTTCATCGGTTGAGGGAATGAGGAGAAAGCACCAAACAATGAATGTCCACATGGAGCCTCCCGTCGTCCTGCTTCACGACGTTCAGCGCAAACCTGCTGAATTCAAAAGTAGAACTATACATTATTCCAGGCAGACATATAAATATATATATATATATATATATATATTTGGGTGAAGGCGGATGAATAACGGGGTTGGATACCTCATTTGTGATGCTTTTTACAGATGGAAATGTACTCCTGCACGTCATCGGGGGACCCCAGGACGATGGGAACCCGCTCGTGGATGTTGGTGGGCTGGATGTCCAGAACGTTCACGGATCCCGTGGTGGCCACGCCCCCCGCCTGCTCCATGATGAAGGCCATGGGGTTGCATTCATACAGCAGCCTCAGCTGTCAAAGGCACGCACGCGCGGGAGTGAGAAGGCACGTCTTCGATCGCGCGTCGGATGATGACGTATGCAAACCCGTCCGCGCACCGCTCACCTTGCCCTTGGGACTCTTGACGTTAGCGGGATATAAAAAGATCCCTCCGTACACCAGAGTACGATGCACATCAGCTACCATGGAACCAACGTATCGGCTGCCGTACGGAGCAGAGCCATCCTAGGGACACGAACGTGTGATGAAGAATTCATTTTATTCACGGGACAGTAAGCCAGCTCCTTTTTTGTTTGTAATGACGGCCGCGTATGACCACATTATGACCACATTATCCACATTATGACCACGTCATCCACATTAGGCCTTTGCAAAGTGGCCGTTACCTCTGGGAATTTCTTCTTTTTTAAGTACTCGGTCACGTCCGGGTAGAAATGCTGTGCATATCCTTCGTTCAAGCTGTAGATCTTTCCCCTTTTCTTGATCTTCACGTCTCGGTCCACCAAGATGAACTCACCAATTGACTGAAAGAGAAATGCGTGGAGAAGATGAATGCAGAATGAAAGACAGAAACCAGCTGCAATAAGGAGCAGTCGCAGTAACAGATGACTCATTTATCACAAAAACCTTCGACTTACGGGGTCTAGCATGAAGCAGTTGACTCCCTGACCAGTGGACAGCACCATCATGGTGGCGCTGCCGTACAGAGCGTAACCAGCAGCCACCAGGTTCCTGCCGGGCTGCAGAGCATCCTTCTCACAGGGTTCACCGTCCGTGGTCTACGAACAATGGCACGCCAACGAGTTCAGGGCCACACAACAAAGTGACGGGGTATGAATTGTATGATTTGTAAAACGATTTGCTCATAAGAACATCAGCGTTTTTTAAAATAACGTCGTCGCTAACCTTCTTGTAGATGGCGAAAATTGTCCCAATGGAGACGAGGCAGTCGATGTTTGAGGATCCATCCAGGGGGTCAAAGCACACGATGTACTTCCCCTGTGTGTTCGAGAACAAATGTCAAAGCGGCAATAATAGCAGAGAGCTTTAATAAAAAATTTTTAAAAAGACCACATGCCTGCACGGACATGCATGCATATGCACGGAAAAGCACGTACCCGCTTGTCTGGTTCCACGATGATGGCCCTCTCGTCTTCCTCTGACACCAGCACGCAGGAGGTGAAGGACGACTTGATCATGTTGATGACCAGGTCATTGGACAGGATGTCCAGCTTCTTCACCTGGTCCCCCGTCACGTTGGTGCTGCCGGCGATGCCGTACCTTCCCGACAGAGGAAATCAGGGATCAGAAGAAAAAGAGCCGTCTGTTCTGACACGTGGAGGAAATCTTTTAATCCCTTGTAAACCGAGAGAAATGTTTTGTTATTTTGGTTAAAGCCCCTGAGAAAGGTATGAAGGGGTTCATTATCTCCTTGACCCATTCCGCCCCGGGGGAACACACACAACACTTGACAACAGATTTTTATGTCTGACAGCATGTAGTTAAAAAAAAAACACTACCTGGATATCGATTCCTACTAATAATTAAACAAAAGCATGAGAAAGTCATCACATGACAGTAACAACTTTCATCGACTATAAACGTCTTATAGGCTTAAACTATACCCCCCCCCTACTTATTTAGGTGTGCACGTGGATGAAGTGAAAAGGACTCACAGGTTAGCGATCCCGGCCTTCCTGACGGCGGTGGAAATGGCTTTGACGGCGGTGCAGATGGAGTTGATCAGGTTGGTGAGCTCACCGGTTCCCTGGGCCTTCCTGCCCTCCTCCAGGACAAACCTGGTGAGGGTCTGCACGTCGGTGTCGAAGGCTCCTCGGTCGGACATCGTGCGGTCAGGCGTGGGATCGGGACTGGGACCTAATGGCTGAAGCAGGCGAGGTGAGCGTGGAGCCAAAGTTAAAAAGGTGGACTCTAGAACGGAGATAGGGGAAGGGACGGGGGGGGTGTAGCTCTTCTGACCAATCACACGTGTCCTTTGCACACCGTCAGGAGTTGGTTTGATCACTTCTTTAACTGTGGGTTTAAAGGGCAAAGTGCAAAGATAGTGGTTTGTTTTTTAAAGCAACAATGGTCACAACTTGATTCAATGTCCTGTTCACCTTTATTACAGCTTTCGTGTTGTTGGGGTTTTTCCGGTCTGTACTCTTCTGCAAGAAGTGAGTGGTCGACTGATGTTTAACAATTTGATCTTGTTTAACTTCATGATGCAGAAGTGCGTAATTATTCCAAAAGCTTCCAATGTTTTCATGGTTTACACAGCACTACATTCATCACCTAGCCTAATTCCTATTTCCTTACATTGGCTCGATGGCTATTATCAATACCACTTTCATTAGAGCAAGCTGCAAAACGGTAAATGAAAATGAGATGGATTCAACTCTTTTATTTCCATGCAATGAACCCCTTTTGGAACAGAATGGTGCACAGGTTGCAGTAGATATGTCCGACCAGCACTATAACATCCCTTCTGTGCATGATCCTGAAGAGGAGTAAAGTTCAAATGGAGGGAGTCATTGTCCTTGCTGACTCTACCTGATTGGATTGACCACTATTAATAAGATAAAGGCTGATAAAGGTAACAGACAGAAGCATTCAAAGTGCATGTTGTCTCTGTCGCAGTGCGTCTCCGTCTGGGACACCAACACAGAGGGGTGAAAGGTCTGCGCACTTACAGCGTAAGCCTACGTGAAAAAGGGCCGAAGAGCTGAACTTTGAACCAAACAAGATATCCGGCGTGATAAAAGTGTCCACCGTGAGCATGATGGTTAACCACACACCGCTTACCTTTTCAGGTTAATGATAACCATCCAGCTGCAAAAACAGAACATCATGTGAGAGCAACAAACGCATGCACGCACAACTGATCACAACACACACACACACACACAATGATTAAAGTACACCGTACACATGCTTTGTCTTGGCTATTTGGCTCAAACGTGCCATGTAGAGATTTAGTGTGGTTGTTTGGTGTTGGGTGCAAGATGTCTTTCTGCACTTTGTCCACATGGTGTCGCTGTGCAATTTACAAGCCGCTGAAAACAAATGACGTGTGAGCAAAAGAGGAGCAGCAGGCCATTTCCTGCTGGTAACTCTGCTCAATTGTATTAAAAAGCAGTCACTTCATTAACTAAACGTCGGCCATCACGTGGACAACTGTAGGATGGTCAAATTATTTCTTGTCATTTGATACCATCATGTAATTTGTGGAATACTGTAGTCAAATCATTTTATAGTATTTAAAATAAGAACATTAGGTAGTTTTATTCAGCTCGTTGAGAAAAAAGTGAATTTAATAAATACTCATGAAAAATTGATATTCACACCAATATAATAAATATAATTGTTATGTTTGCCAAGCCTTTAGCAGTAAAAATACACTGTGAATGTACGTTAAGAGAAACAACACATTCCAAAAAATATAAAAATTCTTGATTATAATTGGTTAAAATATGCAACTAAACCAACGCTTCATTTGGACAGAAGTCTGCAGAAAGTTGTAAGAAAGTCGCCTCGCAGTCGTAGAAGAGAGGACATCATCAATATTTCACCGCGCTCAACTCATCACCTGACGGAGCGGCGGCGCAGCTCTGCGCATGCGCAGTAGCTCTCCCACTGCCGCACCGTCAACTCTTCAGGAGTTTCACAGACAAATGCGAAATAAACGACGGAAAAGGAGGAAACACGAGCTCTCTTTAACATAAATGTCCAAACAAAGCCATTCGACCCGTCCCAACTCATACTTTGAGACAGTTTTTTTTATCCTTCTACGTTGCATTACCTCCATCTTGCTGTCCCCTTCTCGTGCACAGGTGAGTGACATCACATCGCTTATGAGCTAACGTCAGCTAAAGTGGGGGAAAGCGTGCTGAGAGAGGAAAGTCCGGCCCAACATCCCGTCATAGGCTGACTGACCACCTGGCTCAGAGACAGAGAACAGGGGAGCAGCCTTTGGAATAATCCACATGAACGGAAATACACCTGTTGGCCACATCTTCATATATACGTGTGTATTTTATGTGACAATCTAGCTCTATTGCCATATTTTGTATTTATTTTCCTTGTACATCGTTGTTCTTTTCTCTAAGTCTCTTGCTGCTGGAACAAACTAACTTCAATTTTAAAACACAACTCTTAATATTCACTACAGAACCAGAAGCTGACGGATCTTTGTGCGTTCTTTGCTCTCCTTCAAACCCCCCCTGTGTGCTGAGGACAGAAGGTGCTGCTTACTGATGAGAAAGTGATACGCCACTGTGATGCGGTGAGGCGCGGTTGTGCATTGCTGTACTTTTTTTTGCAGAATTAACTGTAACCACTCAGGGCCCGTATTGCATTTCCTGTGTGCAAGCATTGTAAGGTCAGCTGTTATTGACTGCTGCACCTGGGCTGAGCGAGGGAGCGACGTAGTACGGCGATGCATCAGCAAGCAAATCGTCCAAATGTGAGTTATATTTGCTTCGTTTTTTGTTTTTTACAGTTCCAACGGGATATAAAATCATTTCTCCGGCGTTGATACTTTGTGAATCACATTCATGGCTCAAGGCAGCTACATCTTGAGAACGGAGTCAGGTACTATTTACTTTTCTTGGTGTGTTCACAACTGGAAGTTGTAATGCAGAAAATACGTTACGCCTTTTGTCATAGTGTATTTAATGAACTCAAAAATTCAACGATTTATGTGTGTTTACCGAGCTGAAATACTTGGGAGATGACTGTGGTCGAGAAAACCTGTGTTTTTTGAGGCATTCTGAGGGAGAGTTGCACAGTAAATTATAGAGTGGGTTCAGTCTATGTGGGGAGACGTAGCATTTGGAGAAAAGTGACTATACTAAAAACAGTGTCCACACAACGGCTAAATCCTCCTCTGTCCCTCCTCCGATGGTGGGACAGCCTGAGGGAGTTTAGAGTCCAAAACGTTTGGAGGTGATATAAAGGAGGTAGACTGGAAAAGAAACGGTCGCTTATGAGAGCGTAACGCTAAGGTAAGAAGAGGGAATACACCAAGAAACTGTATGAGAATTAAGTTTCTAATTTAGTATTGTTGTTTTTGTTTTGTTACTGTGGACCATCCTCAGAAACGCATTGCTATTGTAAATTGAAGTATTTAAGGAGGAGCTTTTCCTAATGTTGTTTTTTTTGGTCACATGCAAGAACGAATATTTCGAGTGCACTCTTTTTTGCATAAAGTAATAAAATATGGTTTCCCACTGTGGTTCTAGCCGGTCAAAACACTGAAAAGTCCGTTCCTAACTACCTGGGGATCGACTACGGCTATCAGTGGGACGTGGACAACCTCAAGTTTGTGAATAATTTCCAGCCCGGCGACACCATTAAGCGTCTAAGCCTTAAGAGGAGGCCCAGGGTGGCCGCCAACAATGAGGAGAGCAAACCGAGTGCCAGTTCCTCCAGCCAGTGGCACTCAGAGGAAGCCTCGGCATCATTAAGCAGTGACGATACAAGACTACTCGGCATGTCTTCTTCAACCAGAGGTCGTCCTCCTCTTCCTCCACCACATGGTTCCCCGTCGGATAACAAACCCTGCGGGAATGACAGAGCAGCAGCAGCCTCTCAGACACCTGATGAGTCCAAGCCTCGGCCTGCTGCCAGATCTCTTGCTTCACAAAGACCAAGCCCCGTGTTGGAAAAGACCTCAGTGGAGACCCTCAAACACTCGGATCAGGAGGTGAGCAGGCGGCTTCCGCCTCAGCCGCATCCCCGGCGCCGGCTGGCCAGCTTCGGAGGGGTGAGCTCGCATGGGTCGCGCTCCCCCTTCACTGGCCTGGGCGCATATAATCAGAACAACAACGGGAACAAGCCCGCCGGCTCAGGAAGCGACGTGAATGTCCACCGTAGCTCGTCCATGGGCAGTAGAGGCAGCACGGGATGCCTCAGGCTGGGCGCGCAGAGCTCTGGAAGGACCGCCTCGGTTACGAGTCTCGGCCCCACGCACCTTCAGCACGTCCGTGACCAAATGGTGGTAGCTCTGCAAAGGCTGAAGGAGCTGGAGGAGCAGGTCACGATCATACCCATCCTCCAGGTGAGAATCGCAGTCCTCCAGGAGGAAAAGAGGCAACTGGTCTCCCAGTTCAAGACCCGTGATGACAACGAGGATGCCAAGGATGTGATCTGGAAGAGAGCGCGTAGCGCGGACAACTCTGACATTGAGAACACGGTGAATGTGGAGGAAGGACTCGAGGGCACAATGAGTAGCGACTGCGGTGACCTCAAGGAGTTCAGGGAACTGACCGAGGAGATACACGCACTGGAAATAACCATCAAGAGCGGACATCTGGAAGAGTGGAATGGAAAAGATAGTAAGCTGTTGCTGGACAAAACCATGAAATCAGTCGCAGTTGGAACAGATGAAGATACGGACACAGCGTTGTCTAAACCAAAAAAAGAAAACAAATATGTGCACACTGATCGGGTAGAGATGAGGTCAGTTGGAACGGAAGTATCTGAAGTTAATCTGGGAATTTACACAGAACGGGAAGCAGAGATTGATGCCCAACAACTCATAATCAATGCCTCAAAAGAGAGAATTTGTCAATTAGAAACCCAGTTGAAAGAATCCGCTCTCCAGACCGAGATGAGCCGTCTGAAACTGGAGCTCCTGGTGGCGGGAGCGAGGAACCGAGCTGATAAAGCCTCCTTTGCTAGACCCTCCACTGTGAGCACAGGCACCGAGACAAGGCCTCACACCACAAGCCAGGGAGTTGGCAATCACACAGAGCTCCGAGATGCAAGCACAGGGGACGCCACAGAGGTGAAGACCGTTGGAGTGTCCTGTTGCGGGGCCGAGATGAATAATGTTTGCACAGGACCAGATGTACCGATGTGCCACTGGGAGGTCAGGGAGCGAGTGGAGACCGCGGAGAAGGGCGTGGGGATCCAGGTCTTAACAAACACACAAGGCGTTGGGATGGAGATAAAGTTGTGTGATGCCGAAACCAACACAGAGGCGCCGCAGGAGAAAAGAAAGATTGAGTCTAGTTCGGTGGGTTGCGGCGACTGTTCGGTTGACGTGATCATCTGCCGGGCGAAGGAGGTGGTTTCTCAAGGTACCGCCACAGATCAAGTCAAAGGAGTGGATCTGGGAATCATGGCTTCACCCCAGACAGCTTGTCAGCGAAACAACACTGTGTCCTGTTCAGTGTCCCGCTTCACCAACACCCGACACGCCTTCAGCACAGACTCCAGCACCAACACCGTCCTATGTACCCAGAACAAGCACACCAACACCACTCAGGCGGTCACCAGGACCGTGTCAGTAGGCAAAAGGGTCAAAGACCCCAAACCCGCCCCGGAGACCCGTACCGTTGGCGTAGGAACAGAAAATCTGCCGGGAAGTGCCTTTAAACAAACGCCAGGGACAGTCGCCAGGGTAACCCGAGACGCCGGCGTTGGATTCACAAACTTTAAAGAGAATTTCCTGGTGGGGTTGAAAACTCGAAACATGGCCTCCGGACCCTCCCATCTGCCCGACCCCGTCAAGACAAGGAGCATCGGCGTGGGGGAGGGGAGGATACGGGATTTGGCGGCTTCGTCCAGCTCACCCGGCCAAACGATACAGCGATCTCCACAGTCCCAATGGGAACCCGGGCTGAACCACTACATAGAGAAGATGCACTGGCTCCTCCGGGAGCACGGGGACCTGCTCACAGAGGACCTCCACGGCCCTCAGAGGGACGGCTTCGCCCAGCAGCGCAGTAGCCGGGGAAAGGCCGACGCCGACCTTTCCCGCGATAGCAAGGCGGCAACACAACGAGAAACCGAAGTCTACGCTTTGGATTCTCAGCAGACAGGTAAAACCATGGGTTTAGTTGGCGTGAAAGGTACCCTGGGTTTTATTTAAGTAAGCAGATAGATTTACATGGAGCTTATACGCTGAAAGCATTGCGCGTTTAAGTTGGCTACCAGTGGGATAGACGTGAACACCACATAGCTTTCTAAACCGATTCATATTATGCACTGAATGTAAGATCTGTAATGATGGTACTAATTAAAAGCCTCTTCCTCCGCAGTGGGCAGAGAGCTCCAGTCTCCTTCACAACTCTTAGCCGACTCCTCTGACTGTGACAAAGCAAACCAAGCTAAGTCCCAACATGTGGTCAATGATTCAGAAGTGAGAAGAATGATACAGATGTTGGAACAACAGACGTCCTCAGCTGCTCTGCGAGGTAAATGTCGGGCGGGTTTTTGCGCGTCAACGTGTCATGAAGTTTCTTTTCATGAGAAATACTATATGAATTTGGTCAGCGAGAGTTCTGTCCGTGTGAAAGTAAAGTTTTAAAAAAACATTTCACTCTGTGACCACTAACCTGCTGAGTTTAAACTGGCGTAAAGGGGAAATTTCGGCCTTTTGCTTGGAATGTTGGCTTTCAGAGCGATGCGCTTATAACTTTTGGACGGATATCTGCTTGTGGAGGGCGTCGCGTACCACATACCAGCTTGTGGTTGAGGGTCTGGAGTTGAAAGGCTGAGAGCCGGAGAAACGCCTCGTCTTTTTTTTAAATTAGATTTCATACGAATATATAAAGCACCTTCCAGCCTAGATTGAACTTGTGGGTTTCTGTATGTTTCTTTAGGAGTGTTATGTTAAAAGCGTAATACGTTGTTTTTCGTTCTTTTCAGACGTGGCTGTGGGGTCTGTAATAAAGAAACAAAACGGAGAACAAGGCTGTAGCGGGAAGAGCATGACGCTCATGAGGGTGACTACGGGGTAATCGTCTTTTATCCAAACCCCTGCTTCAGACTTTGGTCTCTTTAGAACTCGTTCTCAGTGTAACAGCTCCCGTGTTTGGCCCACAGATCATCTCACGAGCTGCCTCCGAGCGAGAAGGCCCACTCTGAGGTATTGGAGAGCAGAAGGAGCAAAAAGTCAAGCGAAGCTTCTCAAGACGGCAGAAAGGGAAAAGGAAATTCCAAAAAGGAATCTAGATGTTCTTCAAAATCACATTCACAGAGGTAATGAAGTGCAGAAGGTTTTTTATGGTTGACTTTTGTCTGAAGCTGACTTTTTTTATTCCTTTCAGGGGCAAGATCAGTGAAACGATGTTTTCTGCTTGTCAAGCTTTGAAGGTTCATCTGAGTGACAGTACTGCTTTATCCAGTGGGGAACTGGTACGTTTTGTTTATTATATTCAGCATTAGAGCCCTTCACCGCCACTGTGTATATGTGTGCTTCCACTGAGCGAGTGTGTAGAAACGCAGAGTGTGTTCAAGTACGCCATTTAAAAATAAGTGGCTCCGGCAATGCATGAAAAACACACAGGAATGTGTTGCGTTTATGAACTTCAAAACAGTGACATTTATTACTTGCAGAGGGTCTTCTCTTGACAATAGTTTGGAATACAAATAGGAAAATCAAAAGCGATTTCATAACAGTGTCACGCTGACCAAATCAAATCATGTGGCAACATTAAAAGTTTCTTTCCACTCTGAATTATGTGGATTTGCTTTTTTAAACGTGCACATTGACGTGTTATTTTCTCTTTCATGTGTTTGTCCCTCGCAGCACGACTGCCTGCAAACGCTCCGGCACGACTGGTTCTCTGTGTCCGGCCACAAGTCAGCGGCTCCGGACACCGTGGCGGATTATTTGTCCGCGTTTCGGGTCATTTCACCGGCGGTTTTGCAACACGTTGCCAACCTGGTCGACGACAATGGCAACACGGCGCTGCACTACAGCGTGTCTAACTCCAACTTTGGCGTCGTCAAGAAACTGCTTGATGCAGGTACAGCGAGACGTTCGGCGATGCGGGTCTCGTGTGTGGACGGGAGACACTCGCTGTGCTCTGCCTAAGCCACCGGGGGCGATTTAGGCCATGTTGTGCTATCGAGGGTGAACAATGAGAGCTTTTTCTTGCATACATTTACCTCTTTGTCTTTTTCTTCTTCCTGGCTAATTGCCCGCAATCCCTTCAGGGGTGTGTAACGTCAATCAACAGAACAAAGCGGGATACACGCCCATCATGCTGGCCGCGCTCGCCGCTGTGGAAAGTTATCAGGAGATGAGAGTTGTGGAGGAGCTTTTCGCGGAAGGAGATGTCAACGCCAAGGCCGGCCAGGTCTGGTTACCGGAGTCCTGCTGTTTCTGCTTTGTGTCCTCATGTTGCCATGGCTACAACAACAATTTCCGGGCTCTTGATTTTATTAATATAACAAAGTACAAAAAAAGTGTAGTAAAGAAATAGGATTTTGGTGATTTTAGGTGTTGAATTCCTTGGAATTGCCTGCATAGATTTGAATAACATTAATCAGTTTCTCTCTTTTACCCACAATCAGACCAGGAAACTATGGTTGTTACTAGAAAATTGCAAAACCATTAAATGTAAAGTTCCTTTTTTTTTTCTTTTTTTGCTCGAGACACGTCTTATATGATAATGTAATTACATAAGTGAAAAGTTCAGGCGCCATTAACGCTGCCTCCCGCCGTCCAGGCCGGGCAGACGGCTCTGATGCTGGCGGCGAGCCACGGCAGGAGGGACGTGGCGCAGGCGCTCCTGGCACGGGGGGCGGAGGTCAACCTGCGGGACGACGAGGGCTCCACGGCGCTGATGTGTGCGAGCGAGCACGGCCACGCCGACGTCGCCGGGCTGCTGCTGGCGCGGCCGGACTGCGACGCCACCCTGACTGACGGTGTGCGTGAGTCCTCGGCAATGTGTCACCAAAAGCAACACGGCCGTACAGGAATTGGGGGGGGGGGGGGGGCAGCAGATTGGGGCAGAAGTTGGGATGTTTAACTGTGATCTTTCGGTCTGTGAACGTACAAAGCGCTCGTAGTGACCCGTGGGAGTGCGTGTGTTTGCAGGATGACAGCACGGCCTTGTCCATCGCTCTGGAGGCGGGACACAATGACATCGCGGTGCTCCTTTACGCGCGTGCCAACTTCTCCAGAGGGCAGGCGGGGGTGTGTGGCTCCATGTTCCCTCTCATTCAAACCACACGAGCGGGCGGTTTTAAGGAATACTTTTTTTTTAAATGTTGTTTACGTGTGTTGACAGGCAGCGGCTCGTCTCGGTGGCTCAACGTCTCCCTCCGTCTCTGCTGGCAGGAATCCGTTTGAATGAGGACAATGGACGCCTCCTGCATCGTCTCCGTGTGGTGATTCTTCGGGGGGGTTTTAGACTTCTGGCTTGCAGACAGTTGACAGAATGTTGACATGCATTTGCATAACAGTAATATATCACGGCAGAATGTTTTATTACCAACATACTAGTTTCTTTAATCATTTTATTTGTCTTTGTAAATAATTTATTTATAATAAGACTGCAAAATACAATGTGGTACAAAAAATACCATCAAGTTATTCAGATTTTTGAGTAAATATGTAAATGATTAAAAATAGATATCATAAAGAAGCATCTGTCAATATTCTTAAAACAACTTAAAATATATGTTTCTCCTCTTATCACTCAACAACATTCTTTTTTAGTGGAATTTGAAACAATCTTTACTAGTTTCTAGTGTATCTTTAATATACATTTATAGTGGGTTATACGTTCGTTACATCGATTTCAGTTAAAGTTAGTCCCAAATATATTTTTCCAGTGTACTTCTGCTGTCGACTACAGAAAAAACATTTCCCCGCGTTTCTTGGTATACGTGACTTAACCGATCAAAAGAAACCCGGTGGACCTTCAGCGTGCTCTCAATGCCTCTTTCAGCCTCTCAGCATCGCCGCTATCAGTTTGAATCAGGGACACGCAGTACTCTGTTATGCATCCTGCCTCCACTTGTTACACTCTTATTTTGCTATTATCGACCATTGCATAAGGTCTATTTCACAAAAGGCCTTACATATTAAACATCTATTCAGAAGACTGATATAAAATACTTGTTTTAGTTGTCTCTGGGTCCCGACGGCACAAATCCCTGCCTCATCGGAGCGCGTCTGCCTTCACTGATGCTTGCACTCCTTTATATTTAAATTGAATTTCACCTTCGAATGAGCAATGGAGAATTCATAAAACATTCCCAATGTGGCCTTGTGCAGTCCGGACTGTTGGAATTAACATTCCACAAAGGAGCTGGATAGAGAAAAGATAGTTGGGGGAGCGTTTGGGCCGGCAGGTCATTTCTGTGACAGCCCTAAAACAGACACTTCATTTTGTGATGATTTAGATGTTGTGACGAGGTTGATAATCAATAAAATTAAGACATTGTGAACATTGTTGTTGTTTTTAACAAAAGTAGCCATTTGCTCTATTTTGTATTCAGTCATCACATGCTTTTGAGGTCGGGAACATGCAGTGACTTATTGTCTTTGTGTCCTTGCATATGTTTTCTCTGCGGTTTACATTTTGCACATTTCTTGAGTTTTTGAAAGTGAGGCTCGTGCGTGCTGCAAGTTAATGTGTCCCATTACCGGGAGCGATTCAATGTGTGACTGAGAGTACTCTGAGTCATTTCCCAGCAACAGCAATAAAATACAATAATATACAAGGTTCGCCATCAAGATCCTCAGTTGCCATGGTAACAATCAGCAGGTTTGAGCAAGTGGTTCTTGGGAACATAACGCTGAAATGATATATTTCATATTGAGTAGCTGACCAGGGCATTTTACTTTGGCATCCTCTGCTAACAGGAACTTCATTGCATCTTATAATGAATTAGAGTGTATTTTCCCATAAACAATCATCAAAAGGAAAAGAGCGAACGTAATGCAGGCTGCCGTCACTCCCTCAAACGTGACGGGCAGAAATAATCTCCTCGGTACACCGAGGCAAGAAAGAACTTGCGGATATGCGGAGAGGACTAAAGTTTACAGATGGTGCCTGTTCCATCAGCCTCCGCCCGCGCAGATAGAAGGTCTGACTTCAGATCGAGAGCAGGCAGATAATTATCCCATCAGCTGCAGCACGCCAGCTTATAACCCACTCGGATGCATTCGGAGGCCGTCCCTTCCTCTTCGCCGCTCGCATCATTCTGTGTACGCTACTGCCCAAGTTTTCTCTTCCCCTGACAGGTGTTGTCCATCAAACAAATGTACCTGGACTTTTCTTTCTGGTTAGTTTTTATTGCAGGTTTTTATCAAATGTCAAATCTCAGAGCTGACATTTTCTATTCCAATATACGTTCCCGTGTATTTGAACCCTGCTGTAAACATCAGAAACAATAAGGCACATATTGGTAAAAGAATATATTACAGAATCCATCTATTTATCAAACGGGATGGTGATGAAATGACATTTAATATTTTTCATTTTATTTGAACGGTCCAGCAACGGCGTTCTGAGAGTACACACAGACAGACTGTAAGAGGCTTCAGAATCAACCTTTCATTTTTCCATCGGAAAACTATTTTCTGCTGTGCTTGAAACCATACAGCAAGCAGATGTGTTTGAGTAGCATCCCAAACTAGAAAACAGTCCACTGATAACGGCTCAGCAACTCCGAGATATTTCCTTTTTGTCTTTAAGAGTAATCTGAGCCAATATTATTTTCCTTGGTAACCTTGGTGAGATTCTGCTGCTAAACACAAACACAAGGCATTTGGGGTTGAATGTGGGGAGGAGCTTGCACACAAATATGTCATTATGTTGCTGACTTTGTACCACAGGCCTCAGCGAGGGGGGGAGGAGGGGGGCGTCCAACCATCAGCCACATGTTGGATGCTGGAACATCACTGTCTGTCACGCGCACCGTGCACACGCGTCGTATGAACTGTCCCATATTTACAACCTCTCTGCAGACGCCACGTTCACTTTGCAATGCAGTGCGTAAATAAATAAATGCACAGAAATGGACCCGATAACTTTGACGGCAGGGAGGGAAGAGCCCCCCCCCCCCCTCCTTTGCTCCCCCCTCGTCTGGCATCAGTCGATATTAAAAAGATGCAGAGGGACACAAGCTCGGGGCCTTCCAGAGTGAGGAAAAAGAGGTGTGCGAGCTGCAGACGGGCGCTGGGTCTGGCATGTCCGCTGACTTGTGTATGAAAACATCGCGCGTTCAGTCTCCCCCCTCCTGGGCTCCGCTTCTGAGTGATCAGCTGATGAAGAGACTAGCAGCTCGCCGCTATGCTGGCGTGCTAATTCTCTCCCCCACAGCTGCAGCCGATCCCCGCAGCCCGCCGCCTGCAGCCCGCAGCCAGGTAAGAGTCCTCCCGCACGCCTTTCTGCGCCCCGCGCGCCCGATTCCGCCGGGCCACCCCGCACGGGAGGAGAGGAAGAGACGGATGAAACGTGTGTGTGTGCGCGCGCGCGTGTGTGTGCGTGTGTGTGTGTGTGCGCGTGTGTGTGTGTGTGTGCGTGCGTGCGCGACAGGGAAAGCGAGTGTGGGTGAAGAGAGGTGTGTGTGTGTGTGTGTGTGTCCGTCGTAACGGATGAGGGGGAATCTTCGCCGGATCAGTCCGAAGGAGGCAGGCTCGTCGGGAGACGCATGGCACAGGCATGCAGCATCACGTGCACGCGCGCACACACACACACAGGCACGCACGCGCGCACACACACTGACAGACGTCCGCGGACACATGTACGGCTCTCAGCTGTGTGGTGCATCGTGCAGGATTACCCTCCAGCCCCCCCCCCCCCAGTATATTCCGCTCAGGGGGGCTTTTAAAGCTTCCTCGGAGCCCCGCGATGATAGCCGGGATTTCTTTTGTTACCTCCAGTGTTGTTGTCTCCCATCACTCAATTCCCTGCCATGCAATTCGGATGAGCAAGCGTGCGTTGTTTTTTTTTCTAATACAGCGTTTGTCACCATCAGGTCCATTTTTGTGAGTCTGCGAGGTGTTAGTGTAGTTCTGCGTTGTGTTGTTCCTGTTCCTCTCAGTGTGTGTGTGCAAAAACAATATTCCAGCACGCTTTCATCTTTTGTCCTTGAGATATACATATTTTTGCAAGCGCATGCTTTATTATAGCATCTGGATGCTGGTGTGCGGACGGTGTTACTCATTTGTGATTGATGCATCAATAAGATGTTCGGATTAGATTGCATGCTTCCCTAATTTCCTCCCTCTCCTCCCCAGCTGGACTGCTGCTGCTGCTGCTGCTGTGAGCTGCTGTGAGCTGCTCTTGCTGCATGCATACTCATGTTTCTGGCCCCTAATTGCCTTTGTGGAAAACACAGCCGTTGCAGCAGTTATTGGAAAAAGCAGCGAGTAAATGGTTGAAAACAACTCGGGATGCAGCAGGCAGGCGCCCCCATCCCCCCCCTCGAATCCCCACATCTCATCTTTGTGCAACAACAGGAAATATATGTGTCATTATTTAATTATTATTATTATTAGCATTAGCATTTTTAGGTTCTGCGCTTTGGTGACACGCGGCTTCTTCCAATGTACCCACAATCATTGTGCATCCTTTTTTTTTTTAATGGTGCCGTCCCTCGATAATCATCTGACATCAAAGGATGAAATCGTACGTCCCAAATTTGCAGCGACGGCACAGCGGCTGCTTTGCTCCAGTTCCATGCGAATTCACACACTATTGGGATAAATAATAAAACACTCTTTTGAATACAAATTTCTGAAAGCTTAATCGCCATAAATGCCAATTAGTGTTGAATTTGAGGGACTTTTGATTTGGATTCCTCAGGCGGTTTCAGGTTTCCGTCTCCGTAGTTAGTAAAGGTTTGAAAACATGTGACGCCGACTGCACAAGTTTCCCAGCACTCCAACTCTCAGGGAGAGTACGAGGAAGAGTTCAGGACGATGGGAATTGATCGCGGCTCTTTCCATTCATCCCCCAGCTGTTCCTGTGACACTTCAGGATTAAGCATGTGACACGCTCTGTGTGTATCATACACACATCTCACATATTCCTATATCACAACGGTGTCATCCGCCTTCCCGCGGCGCCCGCTGGGGTTTGTTTGATGCCGCTCCCTCTTCCTTACAGCCCGAGCCAGGAGAGAACGGTTCCCTGGAGGAGATGGAGGAGGACATCGGCCTGAAGAAGCGTAAAGGGGATCATCATGGGGACAAAGGAGTGCAGGCCGGGCAGGAGACTGGGGAAAAGGTCAAGAGGAAGCGAGGACGCCCACCTGCTGAGAAGCTGCCTCCAAACCCACCGGAGCTCACCAGGAAACTAAGCACGCTGGTCGACATGGTTACCAACTACAAGGACGGGTGAGGGCGCCCGGCGGTTGGCGGGCTGTGTCACTGTTGGTCCAAATCCTTGAACCGGTTGTGCACTCATAGAAGTTTTCAGTCAGGGATGTTTTTACAGATCCCTTCTATCCTGATTTTATTATGTGAACATGGAGTCACTGTCTTATTATCCCCAAACACTGTAGGAAAGCTTCTGCTTGTATTATGCAAGACTGTTTAATAACCCAAAGCCTGTCAATAACCTCAAAAATGTACATAGGGTTATCCAAAAACTGTTGTTGAGCAAATGGTCTACGTAGTGGAATACATCCGTGCTCCATGCTTATTCCACAAATGTCAATCACACTTACACGTTGAACAAACTGTTTCTCGACAAAGTGACCGTTTTGTGAACTGAAACGTTGTGCTTCCAGTTTTGGTCGACAGATCAGCAAAGGCTTTGTGCAGCTTCCCTCTAAGAAGGAGGTACCCGAGTACTACGAGCTGATCCGAAAGCCTGTCGACTTCAGAAGGATCAGGGTACGTGTCGCTGAACACCCATAGAACTCACAGGCGGATATCACGCTTATCTGCTAAGAGAAGCTCGAGTAAACGCAGATGAACCTCAGTATCTTCTGAGTTTAAGAGGGAACAGTGTGTAACATTTAGAGGGATCTGTTGGTTTTTTCTTCCTTTAGGGTATTTAGTAGGATCAGACTTGTGTCCAACTGGCTCCGGCGTCATGCACAAGAGTCACAGCAATTCATCCGATTGATTGTGGCGCTGAAGAGAAAACTCAGGGCTTACTTCTTATTTAGTGACTAGAACCCAGTCTGGGTCGGAAATAACGCTTGTTAAAATCCGTTAAATATTAAAACACATCAAATCCGATAACACTGAGCTACACAAGACAACAAGAGAGAGTACATTACATGGAGACATTACATTTCATGGAGACATTACATTGCATGGAGACATTACATTACATGGAGACATTACATTACATGGAGACATTACATTGTATAGAGACATTACATTGCATGGATACATTTCATTGCATAGAGACATTACATTGCATGTAGACATTACATTGCATGGAGACATTACATTTCATGGAGACATTACATTGCATGGAGACATTACATTGCATGGAGACATTACATTGCATGGAGACATTGCATTGCATAGAGACATTACATTTCATGGAGACATTACATTGCATGGAGACATTACATTACATGGAGACATTACATTGCATGGAGACATTACATTGCATAGAGACATTACATTGCATAGAGACATTATATTGCATGGAGACATTACATTGCATAGAGACATTATATTGCATGGAGAAATTACATTGCATGGAGACATTACATTGCATAGAGACATTACATTGCATGGAGACATTACATTTCATGGAGACATTATATTGCATGGGGACATTACATTGCATAGAGACATTACATTTCATGGAGACATTACATTGCATAGAGACATTACATTGCATGGAGACATTACATTGCATAGAGACATTACATTGCATGGAGACATTACATTCCATGGAGACATTACATTGCATGGAGACATTACATTGCATAGGAGACATTACATTGCATGGAGACATTA